GTTGCTATAGCACTTTAGCATTAGCTACTGCTAAATGGCTACTGCTAAATGCTGAGTTGCTATAGCGATTTAGCATTAGCTACTGCTAAATGTTGTGTTGCTATAGTGCTTTAGCTACTGCTAAATGCTGTGTTGCTATAGAGCTTTAGCATTAGCTACTGCTAAATGCTGTGTTGCTATAGTGCTTTAGCTACTGCTAAATGCTGTGTTGCTATAGAGCTTTAGCATTAGCTACTGCCTAGGTTGCTATAGAGCTTTAGCATTAGCTACTGCTACATTCTGTGTTGCTATAGTGCTTAAGTATTAGCTACTGCTAAATTCTGTGTTGCTATAGAGCTTTAGCATTAGCTACTGCTAAATGCTGTGTTGCTATAGCGCTTTAGCATTAGCCACTGCTAAATGCTGCGTTGCTATAGCACTTTAGCATTAGCTACTGATAAATGTGGGTTGCTATAACACTTTATTAGCTACAGCTAAATGCTCTTTTGCTATAGCACCTCAGCATTAGCTATTGCTACATGCTGTGTTGCTATAGCACTTTAGCAGTAGCTACTGCTAAATGGCTACTGCTAAATGCTGTGTTGCTATAGTGCTTTAGCTACTGCTAAATGCTGTGTTGCTATAGAGCTTTAGCATTAGCTACTGCTAAATGCTGTGTTGCTATAGTGCTTTAGCTACTGCTAAGATCCCATTGAGCCTGCAGCCCAATGGGACGAGTGTTAAAATGGATTATTATTATTATTATTATTATTATTATTATTATTATTATTATTATTATTATTATGCTGTGTTGCTATAGAGCTTTAGCATTAGCTACTGCTACATGCTGTATTGCTATAGCGCTTTAGCATTAGCTACTGCTAAATACTGGGTTATTATGATGATTTTGCATTAGCTACTGCTAAATGCTGTGTTGCTATAGAGCTTTAGCATTAGCTACTGCTACATGCTGTGTTGCTATAGAGCTTTAGCATTGGCTACTGCTAAATAATGGGTTACTATGGCGATTTTGCATTATCTACTGCTAAATGCTGTGTTGCTATAGAGCTTTAGCTTTAGCTACTGCTAAATGCTATGTTGCTATAGTGCTTAAGTATTGGCTACTGCTAAATGCTGTGTTGCTATAGAGCTTTAGCATTAGCTACTGCTTCATGCTGTATTTCTATAGCGCTTTAGCATTGGCTACTGCTAAATACTGGGTTACTATGGCAATTTTGCATTAGCTACTGCTAAATACTGGGTTGCTATAGAGCTTTAGCTTTAGCAACTGCTAAATGCTATGTTGCTATAGTGCTTAAGTATTAGCTACTGCTAAATGCTGTGTTGCTATAGAGCTTTAGCATTAGCTACTGCTACATGCTGTATTGCTATAGCGCTTTAGCATTAGCTACTGCTACATGCTGTATTGCTATAGCGCTTTAGCATTGGTGTAGCTAATGTTCATGGCTAGTGCTGTAGGGTTAGAGCAGCTAGCTCTGTAGTTAGCGGTTCCTTCCTCTGACTCCTGATGTGACCTTGTTGTGATCTTCAACCCCTGGAGCTAAAGGTCACGTATCTCTGCCTCCTGGAGGATGGAGGAGGAAGTGAAGGAGGAAGTTCAGACCTTCCCAGTGTCCCCATCAGCTGGTTGCTCCTCCACCCAATCAGCCATCTTTCGGGTGGCTGATGGTGAATGTGACTGTGTGCAGGCGCCTGTGGCGGCCATGGTCGGACGCTGCTGGGACGTTTTCCAGCCGCTCCTGTTTGGTCTGATTGGAGCCGAGATCTCCGTCACGTCCCTCAACCCCGGCACTGTGGGTAAGAACGCTCAGGTTACGGCGGCCGTGTGTTTCTGCTCCGCCCAGCGTTGCCTCACTTCCTGTTTCCTGTCAGGGCTGGCGTGGCCTGCATCCTGATTGGTCTGCTGGTCCGTCTGGTCGTCACCTTCCTGCTGGTCCATTTCGGAGGTTTCACCCTGAAGGAGAAGCTTTTCATCGCTGTGGCCTGGATGCCTAAAGCCACCGTGCAGGTCTGATGGCGTCTGATCAGGTCATTGACCTCTGACCTCTGGGCCGAGGCTCTGCTGGGGTTTTATGTCCTCATGTACCTCCTGTCATGTCATCATAAAACAGTTATTGCAGCCCAACAAACCAGAAGATTTAAATATTAGAAAATCACAATAAAATACATTTTATTGTTGGAGAGAAACCAGATCAGATTCAGATCAATCAACCAATCTATTGATCAAACTGATCGACTGAGAAACTTTTACTGCAGACAGAAAAATATCAGACATATTTTTCATGATAAATATTTCAACATATTTTCATGATGTGTTGATGATGAACCTGAAAGTGGGAACATCTGGACCAGCTGGAGTGACCTTGACCTCTTGACCCCAAAAAACTGAGAACCAGTCTGATCCACCAGAACCATCAGAACCAGTCTGGTCACCAGAACTCCCGGACTAACCGTCCCTCTGTCCTCCAGGCGGCGATCGGCTCCAAGGCGTTGGACTTGGCGCGGGACGAAGGTGATGAGACTTTGATCAAGTTTGGTCTGGACGTGCTAACGCTAGGTGCTAGCTATCCTGATCACGGCTCCCATCGGGGCGCTGGGGATTGGACTGGCCGGGCCGCGCCTCCTTGCCCGACAGGTCAAAGGTCAGCTCAGCTTAGCGTTAGCATGTGTCAAACAACATGTTAATATACTGCTTTAACGTTAGCTGAACTAATTTATGATTAGCACTTTAGTGTTAGCATAGCTAACCTTTTAGCTAGCAGTGCCAACCTCTGCATGCTGTTTGCAGGGTCCTGACCTCTGACCTCTGACCATCAGTTCCTCTGAATCAACCAGTGAATCTTGTTTTCTCTGAACCAGCAGGTGAGACGGAGACAGAAGCCCCGCCCACCATCCCCGACCCACCTGCTGAGGAAGAGTCACGTGATCACTGAGAGCAAAGTGTGATGGTTCTGACCCAATCAGAACCAGCCCAGTTCTCCCAGCGGGACAAACCCAACTGGTTCATGAACATGAAGTTTTGACATGTTAGAAAAAACAGAAACAAAATGGCTGAAAATGAAAAGAAGCTTCTTCATTTCCTGGATGTTTTCTTCTGCTTGATTGTTGTTTTATATGAAGGTTTATTCTGCGTCAGTGAAAAGTCACTAATTCTTTGATCACATTTAGTGATTATTATTGGATGTTTTTAACTTTATTATTTCTGCTGAGGATAGAAACAAACTTTATTACACAGAGGAAACATTTGGTGTTTTATTGTGGCGGGAACTACAGGAAGTGGAGTCGCTCTGCGGTCAGGATGAGGCTGAAGCTGAAGACATCTACAGGAACCGATTCTGGGTCAGAACCGCTCCGTCCACCAGACCAACAGCTCCTCATTTAAAACACCTTCAGAGAGTTCAGAACCGGGTCAAACTGGTTCCATGTTCAGAAACCCAGGCAGGAGTCTGGACTGGTTGAAACGTTTCCTTCAAAATAAATCTGATTTTAATGTAACTTGATTTCACCAACATAACTCAGGTTGGTCCAGATGTTCGGACCTGCAGTTCTGTCCCTCATCCTGCACCGGGCCCGGTTCCACCAGAACCGGCTCCTCCTGAGGTTCTGTGTGTTTCTGTTAGAAACCAAAGTTTCTGCTTTTGTAACCAGAACTGGACCTTCTGATGCTGCAGCAATAAAAACTGAATTTAATCTAATCTGACCAGTTATTTTTTACAGTGCAACATCTGTAATCTGATCTGTTTAATGATTAAATCAGATTATAACTTAATATTCATAACCAAACAGAAACGATGCTCTGACAACTCTGTGGGGTCGGGTCGGGTCGGGGTCAGGTCGGAGGTCGTGTGTCCTCAGGAAGAGTCGAGGTCAGAGGTCAAATGGAGTCAGATTCTTCATCCTTCCACTGAATCCAGACCAGATCATCAGGTTGGTACCCATGAAGTTCTGCAGCCTACAGAACCGGGTCGGGCTGCGGTTTGGACCGGACCGTCTCCTGCAGCTCATCACATCCTTCATTACTCTGTAAGCATCAGAACCGAACGGAACCGTCGGACCTCCAGCCTCTCGTCTCAGTTTCCTGTTTTTGCTGTTAACTCAGATTTTCCACAGCGACAGTTTCAGAAACCACAGAACCGCTCAGAACCCGTCTGCTCTGACCTGCTGACCCTGACCTGGTTCTGGTTCTGCAGCTGAACCCAATCTGGACCTGAACCCGGCTCTGCAGGGAGAGGAGCTGCTTCACCTCCATCAGAACCAAAACCGGCAGCAGGAACTGGCCAGAGTCCGACTGAGAACCAGAACCTCCGAGAGCTGAAACAAGTTTGAACTGACATCCAGTTTCACCTCATAGCTGAAGGTTCTGGTCTGAGTTACCAGAACCAGAACTGGGAAAATGGGAAAGTCTCACCTGTTGACTTCTGGAGGCTCCAACACCTGCAGCCCAATGGGACGAGTGTTAAAATGTATTATTATTATTATTATTGTTATTATTATTATTATTATTGTTATTATTATTATTATTAATATTATTATTATTATTATTATTATTATTATTATTATTAATATTATTATTATTGTTGTTATTATTATTATTATTAATATTATTATTATTAATATTATTATTATTATTATTATTATTATTATTATTGTTATTATTATTATTATTATTATTATTATTATTATCATCATCACTACTGGCTGATTGTTTTATTGTTTCCATGAAGAGTGCAATATTTCTGCCAGGTTTGCCTCCTGATGCGTTTCTATCATGAACATCAGTGAGCCGAGCTCTCAGCCCTGAGGGACTCCAGGTTCCATCAGTGAACATCTTCAGCTGGTGGTTTCTCAGTGAGCTCTGACAACGTTCTGAGTTTCCTCGTAGTTTCACAGAAACGTTGGTTTGTTTGATTCCTGCTATTGTTCATCAGATGATGTTGGTGTGTAAAGCAGCAGTGGTGCCAACAGGCTGAATCTGTCGTGCGTCTCGTTGCTCTCACATCCTCCAGCTGCGGTTTGGCTCAACAGGATGTTCTTAACTTCGCTCTGAGACGGACAGAACGGCTTCAGTCTGCAGACGAGATGAACGCCGCCGCACCGCTGCCGCTGCTGCTCTGTGAGTTCAAAACATCCGGAGCTTTTCTCAGCCCAGGAGAAAAAACCTTTCAGGAAGTTTTCAGGGAGGTTTCAGGAACATTTCAGGGAGGTTCAGGAACATTTCAGGGAGGTTTCAGGAAGTTTTCAGGGAGGTTTCAGGAACATTTCAGGGAGTTTTCAGGAACATTTCAGGGAGGTTTCAGGAGGTTTTCAGGGAGGTTTCAGGAACATTTCAGGAAGTTTTCAGGAACATTTCAAGAACATTTCAGGAACATTTCAGGAACATTTCAGGGAGGTTTCAGGAAGTTTTCAGGGAGGTTTCAGGAAGTTTTCAGGGAGGTTTCAGGAAGTTTTCAGAGAGGTTTCAGGAACATTTCAGGGAGTTTTCAGGAACATTTCAGGGAGGTTTCTGGAACATTTCAGGGAGGTTTCAGGAAGTTTTCAGGGAGGTTTCAGGAACATTTCAGGGAGGTTTCAGGAAGTTTTCAGGGAGGTTCAGGAACATTTCAGGGAGTTTTCAGGAACATTTCAGGGAGGTTTCAGGGTAACTTGTTGCGGCTTCTCGTGTTTCCACAGGTTTATTTCTGAGCTTCAGCTGCTGCCAGACGGTTTCCTGCCACGGTGAGTCCAACAGAACCGGCCTCAGAAACAACCTGTTTACTGCCGAGTCATCAGAGTTAGAATGAGCAGAACCACCACCAACACATCCTGTCTGGACCCGATTCAGACAGGATGTTCTGACAGGTTCAGAACCTTCTAATGGGTCCAGAACCTGTCAGGACTTTTATAAACAACTGTATTCCAGCACGACTCTGGACTCTGAGGCTTCGGTCCAGCTGGACCAGAACCAGCCAGAGATCCATTCTGGGTTTGGGATCAGAACCCGGTAGGCTGTGGGAAATGTGAAGAACCTGGACTCAGTAGGAGAAGGTTGATGTTTTAATGTCAGATCTTAAAATCTTAACAGGAAATAGCCAGAAACTACTTTCTGTATTTTACAGGAAACAGTGACTGAACATTTCACATCAGCTGAATATTTACAGCTTCGTCTCTGTGAAAACATTTTTTCATCCTTGTAACACCTTTATACTTTTCATCTGATGTTTTCTGCCCCTCCATCTTACCCCCCACACACCCTGACCTCTGAGGGGGCACACGGGGGCCCAGTTTACGACCTTTACCCTTTACTATGTGTGACTTTGGCTGTTCGCTCCATCTTGGCGCCCCTCCATCGTGGCGCCCCTCCATCTTGACGCCCCTCCATCTTGACGCCCCTCCATCGTGGCGCCCCTCCATCTTGGCGCCCCTCCATCGTGGCGCCCCTCCATCTTGGCGCCCCTCCATCTTGGCGCCCCTCCATCGTGGCGCCCCTCCATCTTGGCGCCCCTCCATCTTGGCGCCCCTCCATCGTGGCGCCCCCATCGTGGCGCCCATGCGTTCAGTGCAGAGCCACTTTCTGCTCCGCTGTTACTGCTGAACATTTTGACCCGTCAGGTTCTGCTGGTGGTTCTGTTCAGCCTCGGTTGGTTCCAGCTTCGCTCTCAGCTCCTCCTGAACGTTTCAATCAGCCTCTCAGAAACCGTTTCAGCTGATTTTAGGCCAGGCTGATTTTTACTTCTAAACTTGATGGATTTTTTTTTTTTTGTTTTTTTTTAAAGAGCTTCATAAATACAATAATATATTTGACAGTTTTATTCCTCTGTTGGTTCATTTTGTTCTCTTTGTGTTTTTGATTTCCACCTTCGGATTCGTGGTTATTTCTGTTCTCATCAGGTTCAGGTTTCGTTTCCTGCTGCTCCTCGTCTGCAGTGAATCATAACAACCTTGTAGCTTTGTAATAAAATCCTCTATAGCCGGTTACCACTAAATATTTAAGATATTGTTAAACACTATGAAATACTTAAAACTTAATTTGATAAAACTTCTGCTTTGCTGTGAAGCTGTTTGGGTTCAACTGCAGATGAACGAGCAAACGTCCATATAGTGAAGAAATATTCAGCGTGTGATTGATTGATTGATCCTTTTGAATATTCTTTTAACAATGTTACAATTATATATTAAGTGTAAATAATAAACCATGTGTCTTATTTTAAAAGTGTATTTATCTCTAATCTTGATTAAAAACATGCATCTTAAAATTTCACCTCATATCACAGATCATTTAAGATTAGAAACTGGTAATGTCAAACTTTGAACTGTAAAAACCCTAATCCAGAGCTAACAGGCTGCATGTAATCCAGGGCTAACAGGCTGCATGTAATCCAGAGCTAACAGGCTACATGTAATCCAGAGCTAACAGGCTGCATGTAATCCAGAGCTAACAGGCTGCATGTAATCCAGAGCTAACAGGCTACATGTAATCCAGAGCTAACAGGCTGCATGTAATCCAGAGCTAACAGGCTGCATGTAATCCAGAGCTAACAGGCTGCATGTAATCCAGAGCTAACAGGCTACATGTAATCAGAGCTAACAGGCTGCATGTAATCCAGAGCTAACAGGCTACATGTAATCCAGGGCTAACAGGCTGCATGTAATCCAGAGCTAACAGGCTACATGTAATCCAGAGCTAACAGGCTGCATGTAATCCAGAGCTAACAGGCTACATGTAATCCAGAGCTAACAGGCTGCATGTAATCCAGAGCTAACAGGCTGCATGTAATCCAGAGCTAACAGGCTACATGTAATCCAGAGCTAACAGGCTGCATGTAATCCAGAGCTAACAGGCTGCATGTAATCCAGAGCTAACAGGCTGCATGTAATCCAGAGCTAACAGGCTACATGTAATCCAGAGCTAACAGGCTGCATGTAATCCAGAGCTAACAGGCTACATGTAATCCAGGGCTAACAGGCTGCATGTAATCCAGAGCTAACAGGCTACATGTAATCCAGAGCTAACAGGCTACATGTAATCCAGAGCTAACAGGCTGCATGTAATCCAGGGCTAACAGGCTGCATGTAATCCAGAGCTAACAGGCTACATGTAATCCAGAGCTAACAGGCTACATGTAATCCAGGGCTAACAGGCTACATGTAATCCAGGGCTAACAGGCTGCATGTAATCCAGGGCTAACAGGCTACATGTAATCCAGGGCTAACAGGCTGCATGTAATCCAGAGCTAACAGGCTGCATGTAATCCAGAGCTAACAGGCTGCATGTAATCCAGGGCTAACAGGCTGCATGTAATCCAGAGCTAACAGGCTACATGTAATCCAGAGCTAACAGGCTACATGTAATCCAGGGCTAACAGGCTACATGTAATCCAGGGCTAACAGGCTGCATGTAATCCAGGGCTAACAGGCTGCATGTAATCCAGAGCTAACAGGCTGCATGTAATCCAGAGCTAACAGGCTGCATGTAATCCAGAGCTAACAGGCTACATGTAATCCAGGGCTAACAGGCTACATGTAATCCAGAGCTAACAGGCTACATGTAATCCAGGGCTAACAGGCTACATGTAATCCAGAGCTAACAGGCTACATGTAATACAGAGCTAACAGGCTACATGTAATACAGAGCTAACAGGCTACATGTAATCCAGGGCTAACAGGCTACATGTAATCCAGAGCTAACAGGCTACATGTAATCCAGAGCTAACAGGCTACATGTAATCCAGGGCTAACAGGCTGCATGTAATCCAGAGCTAACAGGCTACATGTAATCCAGAGCTAACAGGCTACATGTAATACAGAGCTAACAGGCTACATGTAATCCAGGGCTAACAGGCTACATGTAATCCAGAGCTAACAGGCTACATGTAATACAGAGCTAACAGGCTACATGTAATCCAGAGCTAACAGGCTACATGTAATACAGAGCTAACAGGCTACATGTAATCCAGAGCTAACAGGCTACGTGTAATCCAGAGCTAACAGGCTACATGTAATCAAGAGCTAACAGGCTACATGTAATCCAGGGCTAACAGGCTACATGTAATCCAGAGCTAACAGGCTACATGTAATCCAGAGCTAACAGGCTACATGTAATCCAGGGCTAACAGGCTGCATGTAATCCAGAGCTAACAGGCTACATGTAATCCAGAGCTAACAGGCTACATGTAATACAGAGCTAACAGGCTACATGTAATCCAGGGCTAACAGGCTACATGTAATCAAGAGCTAACAGGCTACATGTAATACAGAGCTACAGGCTACATGTAATCCAGAGCTAACAGGCTACATGTAATACAGAGCTAACAGGCTACATGTAATCCAGAGCTAACAGGCTACGTGTAATCCAGAGCTAACAGGCTACATGTAATCAAGAGCTAACAGGCTACATGTAATACAGAGCTAACAGGGTGCATGTAATCCAGAGCTAACAGGCTACATGTAATACAGAGCTAACAGGCTGCATGTAATCCAGAGCTAACAGGCTGCATGTAATCCAGAGCTAACAGGCTGCATGTAATCCAGAGCTAACAGGCTGCATGTAATCCAGAGCTAACAGGCTGCATGTAATCCAGGGCTAACAGGCTGCATGTAATCCAGAGCTAACAGGCTGCATGTAATCCAGGGCAAACAGGCTACATGTAATCCAGAGCTAACAGGCTGCATGTAATCCAGAGCTAAACAGGCTACATGTAATCCAGGGCTAACAGGCTGCATGTAATCCAGAGCTAACAGGCTACATGTAATCCAGAGCTAACAGGCTGCATGTAATCCAGAGCTAACAGGCTACATGTAATCCAGGGCTAACAGGCTGCATGTAATCCAGAGCTAACAGGCTACATGTAATCCAGGGCTAACAGGCTGCATGTAATCCAGAGCTAACAGGCTACATGTAATCCAGGGCTAACAGGCTACATGTAATCCAGAGCTAACAGGCTACATGTAATACAGAGCTAACAGGCTACATGTAATACAGAGCTAACAGGCTACATGTAATCCAGGGCTAACAGGCTACATGTAATCCAGAGCTAACAGGCTACATGTAATCCAGAGCTAACAGGCTGCATGTAATCCAGAGCTAACAGGCTACATGTAATCCAGGGCTAACAGGCTGCATGTAATCCAGAGCTAACAGGCTACATGTAATCCAGAGCTAACAGGCTACATGTAATACAGAGCTAACAGGCTACATGTAATCCAGGGCTAACAGGCTACATGTAATCCAGAGCTAACAGGCTACATGTAATACAGAGCTAACAGGCTACATGTAATCCAGAGCTAACAGGCTACATGTAATACAGAGCTAACAGGCTACATGTAATCCAGAGCTAACAGGCGTGTAATCCAGAGCTAACAGGCTACATGTAATCAAGAGCTAACAGGCTACATGTAATACAGAGCTAACAGGGTGCATGTAATCCAGAGCTAACAGGCTACATGTAATCCAGAGCTAACAGGCTACATGTAATCCAGAGCTAACAGGCTACATGTAATCCAGAGCTAACAGGCTACATGTAATACAGAGCTAACAGGCTACATGTAATACAGAGCTAACAGGCTACATGTAATACAGAGCTAACAGGCTACATGTAATACAGAGCTAACAGGCTACATGTAATACAGAGCTAATAGGCTACATGTAATACAGAGCTAACAGGCTACATGTAATACAGAGCTAACAGGGTGCATGTAATCCAGAGCTAACAGGCTACATGTAATACAGAGCTAACAGGCTACATGTAATACAGAGCTAACAGGCTACATGTAATACAGAGCTAACAGGCTACATGTAATACAGAGCTAATAGGCTACATGTAATACAGAGCTAACAGGCTACATGTAATACAGAGCTAATAGGCTACATGTAATACAGAGCTAACAGGCTACATGTAATACAGAGCTAACAGAGTGCATGTAATCCAGAGCTAACAGGCTACATGTAATACAGAGCTAACAGGCTGCATGTAATACAGAGCTAACAGGCTGCATGTAATCAAGAGCTAACAGGCTACATGTAATACAGAGCTAACAGGCTACATGTAATCCAGAGCTAACAGGCTACATGTAATACAGAGCTAACAGGCTACATGTAATACAGAGCTAACAGGATGCTCATATCTGAGTTAGAAGTTCCAGATTTATCCAGCATCACTAAATACAATGTACAGCTAAAGCTAATTGGTGTCACGAAAGTAGCCCAAAGGTCACCTGCTTATAACAGGAAGTTAACTAAAGTCAGCTATGTGAAAAGTTGCGCCTACATCTTTATGCAACCAAATCTCCATCTGAGATCCTCGTCTTACAGGTTTTACATGCTGCTCTGTTTTTAGATGGATATTTCATAATTGATGAACCCAAAAATAAATTATTGGGATCATATGAACGTTTGAGGTCTCGTTTTTGGTTGAGCTGCAGTTCACACAGATACAGAGTGGAAAGACAGACAGACGTTCAGAGTCTGTTAATACAGACGGATTAATGGGCCATTTTATAAATAATGTGTTTTAAAGTTCAGACTTTGTGTTTATATCCAGTCTCTTAGGTTTCTGTGTTCAGTTGAGTCTCTTGTTTCTCCTCAGTACCTCTTTGTGTATTTGGTCCCACCTGAGTTCCTGGTTCCCCGTCGAGTTCTCGTCTGTCTGCCGTCTTGTTGCCAGTTCCCGTCTTTGTTACACCAGCTGCTACCAGAGATTAGCTCCTAGCCTTCGCTCACTCTGTGCTGCCTGGATTCTGTTTTCATCGTTAAATCATCATTTTCTCTCCATAACTTGGACCAACTGAATCTGCCTCCGCACTCAGCCACAGCAATTCATGACACAAACAGCTTCAAGTCCAATTCAAGTCCCAAAAGCAAAGTCTGAGTCTTTGAACATTTTTACAAGTCAAACGTAAAGTCTTCATTTTAATGACTCAAGTGCCCAAATCTGGCTAATGCTGCTAATGTTGCTAAAGTTGCTAGTGTTGCTAACACTGCCAATGTTGCTAATGTTACTAACATTGTTAGCATTACTAATGTTGCTAACATTGCTAACACTGGTGACGGTGGCAGAGGCGAGGACACTGAACAAACTGCTGGACATCATGGACGATAGCAGCCACCCTCTACATGCCGTCATCAGCAGCCAGAGGAGCCTGTTCAGTGACAGACTGCTGCTTCCCAAGTGCCGGACCAATAGATTCAAGAACTCCTTTGTCCCCCACGCCTTCAGACTGTCTCCTGTGTCTCATTGTGACACAGGAAAGAGGGAAAAAGGAGTAGTTTTTCTACAAATGTGAACTCCATATTTATCAGGCCAAACCATATAGTGCAATACCATAACACTGGTCAATCTATCCACCAAATTCCTATATTTTCTTTTGTGTTGTATTTATATTCTTTGTTTTGTTTGTATTCTTTTGAATATGCTCACTATGTGCCACTTTTTTTGCCTGTAAGCTGCTGGTAACTTTAATTTCCTGAGGGAGTCTTCCCAAGGGATCAATAAAGTACAAGTCTAAGTCTAAGTCACTGCCAATGTTGCTAACACTGCTAATGTTGCTAACATTGCTAACACTGCCAATGTTGCTAACACTGCCAGTGTTGCTAACGTTGCGTGCTTCTCAAACAGACGCGTCCCGTCCGTCCTCCCTGGTCGTCTCCCCCAGCCGGTCTCAGTTCTTTGAGTACGGTTTGTCTCCATCAGCTGTGAGCAGTTTGGACCGGATAGATGGACGGTGTGGAGACAAACCGCATCGGGTGAGTTCATCGTTTATAGGCCTCAGTCCCAGTAAAGGACCGTCCTTCATGATGAAGGACCTTGGACCTCAGCGTGGCTCCAGGTGTGAGGGAACCGTCCGCTGTGTGTCCAGGCTGCAGGTGTCTCCATGCTCTGTGTGGGGAAGTCAGGCCTCCTCCACCTGCACCATCCGCACCCTGAAGAAGTCGGACAGCGGCCTGTACTGGTGCGAGTCCAGACACCGGGACAGCAGCCACACCGTCAACATCACCGTCACCAGTAAGAGTCTGAGACGCATGTTGATGTTCAGGGAACCAGTCAGACCATCCAGCTGACTGGGACCAAACCAGAGACCTCCAGCTGGACGAAGCTCCAGCATTAGAAACATCACAAACCTGCACTGGAGGAGCTGCTTTAGCTTTATTACAGTTTAATAACAGCAACAAGACCTGCAACAAGCAGGGCGGCCATGTTTGTTTACTTCCTGTGTCTCTGTCCCGCCCACATCATTTCTGTCCAACAGGAGCGACGAAGTTAAAAGTAAAAGCAAACGGCACCAGATGGTGCTTGTGGTCCAAACGGACCAAACCACCGGATCGATGAAAACGTCTTCAGGACGTCGAGGAGACGCTGGTTGGACAGGAGTCAGCTGATCGTCCCTGTGTCTCTGTGCAGATGGAGACGTGGTTCTGCTCGGGCCGGTCCTTCCTGTGACGGAGGGAGATGACATCACTCTGACCTGTCAACTTAAGAGCACGCCGGTTTCAAATGCCGAGTTCTTCAAAGACGGATCTAAGATGGCGTCTGAAGCGGGGCTGGTCCTGCGTAACGTCTCCAGGGTCCATGAAGGAGGATATTCATGTAGAATCAACGGAGTCACGTCTGAGACCAGCTGGCTGCTCATCAGAGGTCAAACACCATCTATGTGCTGTACATCTACAGTGGAAGCGTCTCCACTCAGTGTCCATGTCTGTCCCCAGACGTGTCCGAGCCGGCGTCTCTGAGCGTGAGTCCGGACCGGTCTCAGGTTCTGGAGTACCAGTCGTTCAGTCTGAGCTGCAGCAGCTCGGCTCCAGGATGGACCATCAGACGCTTCTCTGACATCAGCAGGCAGACGTCCAGCTGCGGGGGAGACTGGGGCGTCCGCTCTTCTGCGTCTGTCTGCAGACTGCAGACGGCCAAGAAGTCTGACAGCGCCCTCTACTGGTGTGAGTCTGCCACCATGCGGCGGAGCAACACGCTTCAGATCACCGTGTATGGTAGGCACTAGCTACGCCGTTAGCACCAACCGCCTGCGCTGTCGCTTTAAGGCTCCTCCCACAACGCTCAGTCCGCTCTGATTGGCCAGAAAGGAACCAGGCTGATGCTTCCCCTCCACCAGAACCAAACCCAGACTCTCTGTCTGCAGACCTGCAGCAGACAGTGGTGGTCCTGCAGACTCCGGCTCTTCCTGTGACGTCAGGAGGAAACGTCACTCTGACCTGCTTGACCCGGAACCCGCCCGCTGCCTCACCTGCTTTCTACAGAAACGGTTCCTTCATCGGGACCGGATCTCCATCCTTCACCCTGCCGTCCGTTTCCACGGACGATGAAGGTTCCTACCACTGCACCACGGAAGGCAGAAACTCTCCACTCGAATGGCTGTCGGTCAGAGGTCAGAGGTCAGGGGTCAACATGAAGGAGAAACTCTGTTTTCTGGGTTTCATTCTGCAGCCGGCGAATAAAACAGAAAACCTTCAGCTCAGCAGATTCTTCACTTTAAATTAATATAATGAACAGAAACCAGATTAGAGACTAAATTTCAAAATGTTTTGATCAAAAGTAGAATAATAATAAAATAATCAACAAAATGAAATATGATAGTTTTAATTAGCATCGCAGCTTATTAGCATCGCAGCTTATTAGCATCACAGCTTATTAGCATCACAGTTAATTAGCATCACAGCTAATTAGCATTACAGCTAATTAGCATCGCAGCTTATTAGCATCACAGCTTATTAGCATCACAGCTTATTAGCATCACAGCTAATTAGCATCACAGCTTATTAGCGTCAGAGCTTATTAGCATCACGGCTTATTAGCATCACAGCTAATTAGCATCACAGCTACATGTATGTTGAGTTTGATGCTCAAATTTATAATCTGTAAATAATTTAACAACATATTTAACAAAAGGATGTAAATTCAGAGACTGAGTCACATGGACAGGACCAGAACCGGACTGAACCAGAACCGGACCGGACTGGGACCAGACTGGGACCGGATTGGAACCGGACTGGTTTGGGTCCGGTCCAGTCCAGTCCTGTTCCAGTCCGGTCCCATTCCGGACTGGGACCGGACCGGACCAGGACCGGACTGGGACTGGATTAGGACCGGACTGGGACCAGTTAATCCCAGCAGCTGCAGGGCGGCTCGGGTTTATCCTGCAGAATCTCAGAATGGAGATCAGAACCAGAAGTTTCTCTTCAGACGTTAAAACTTTTCTCCAGAAAGTTTCCGATAAATGATAAGTTATTAACAATAACAGATAATTCAGTGCTTTAATAATCAGAATCAACTGATTTTCATCTCACAGATCAGAAGCTTTAATGTCTGATGGTTTCGTGTTTTCAGCTCCTCCAGATCCAGATCCGGATTCATTTTCTTCTCCTCTTCGCTCAGTCCTGTGGAAAATCCTCTACGCTCCAGTTTCCATCTTTTACTTCATCCCCACCTGCGTCTTCATCTACAAACTCAGACACAGAGCCACAGGTGAGCACAGCGCCCCCTGCTGACTGTCTGCAGGAACAAGCCGAGTCTCAGGAAAACCTGTCTGGTAAACCGTCTGCAGGCTGGAGCCCAGCGGGCCGGACCAGAACCTCTGGACCCAGACGGGCCGCAGCAGGTGGAGCAGCAGGTGGAGCAGCAGGTGGAGATGACTATGATGACGCCATGGCTCCTGGCACCACTGAGCATCATTTCTGAATCTCATTTTTAATCTCTGAGCTCTAAATGTTGTTTCTATATAATCTGTATGAAGTATAAAAAATAAAATATAACTTTTTTATTTTCTTAATGAGTTTTGTAACTTTGATGGTTCAGGAAGGAAACTGAGGCCAAAACGCTTTAAATCCTAGAAATGTTCATGAAAAGCTTAAAGTTCAGTTTCATAATAAAAGTAAATTAAAAAAATGTTAACAAATTAAAAACAATTAAAAACCCTAGTGTTTTTAATTCTTTAATTTAAAAACCCTACCCTAACCTTAATTTACTGAATATATGATCAGATTTCCTTTCTGAAAATCTTTGTTACTTTGTTGCTTTAGATTTGCTGCAGTTCTTACAGTAAATATCTGGATCTTATACAAACATTCAGTTTGGAGTTAAACTCTAACAAATGGACGAATCAGAATCTAATCATTTTAGATTTTCTGTCCAACAAAATAAAAACTCATTTTAAATTTGTTTTCTGATTCGGAGGTTAACAAATGAACTGCTGACCTCAAATGCCCTCTGACCCCTAAAGCTAAAGAGGTTCATTTAAAATCCTCAGTAACGTTTTTCCTTCCAGTGAACTTTCACCACCAAGGTTCACCTTTGACCCCAACGTCTGGACCGTTTCAACAACAGATCGTCTTTCTCATCGTTTTCTCTCTGGGACGTTTTGGGGAAACTTTCAGGTCGAAACTAAATGTTCCTCCTTCCTCTTCAAAAGAGACGCTGAGACATTTGGGTCAGAACCATTTGGGTCAGATCCGACATCATCCTGAACAACTTGCTGAGAAACTGATGGAAAGGTCAGGAAATCAGCTGTTCACCTTTGACCTTTTCCGTCTGTTTGATGTCTGTTTTTATTTCTTTATTTGCTGTTTTTTACTCTCATATTTCCATGTTTGCCTCTTCTTGTGAAAATGTTTAATAAAAATAAACTGTTTCCTGTTCTGCCTGTCAAAGGCTTCACATGTTGACCCACAGCGACACCCAGCGGCCACAGCGGGTACTGACAGGGTTGAACCTGATCATCTATTGATCAGGTTCCAGAACAAGTTATCCATTAATCAGCAGAACATTATGACCACCAACCCAAACCAGAGGAAACTGGGAGGACTGGAGGCGACCAGAACCCAACCAGGAACAATCCAGTGGCCTCTACTGGGAGGACTGGTGAGAGACGAGTCGCTGGAACCAGAACCAGATCGGATCAGAACCAAGAAGTTCTGATCCGCAGCTTCCAGAGAGGAAGAGGAGCAGAGAGAGGAAGGTGATCATCATCATCAGGAAACTCTGCTGCTGATTGGTTGCTTCAGGTTTTGCCGAACCGGTTCTGTTGGATCAGATCAGAGCTTCATAGTTTCTGAACCAGCTGCAGGTCCAGACCGGTTCTGTTATTATTTTTGCTATTTTCTTTGTAGTTGTGAGTCTGAATCTGTTCACCAGCTGGAGGCTTTTATTGTGAAAATATGAACCGCTTCATTCCCTCCGTGCGCATGCGCATTCACAGCTCTAAGCTCAGTTCGCTGGGAACCGCAGGCTGGATATTTCACACCCGGAATGGACCCGCCGAACCGGAACCGCCCCAAGAGAACCAGATGGGTCTCCCCCTCTGTTCCCGCCGACCCAAAGGTCAGAGTTCAGCATCCGTGGGCAGGTCACTAGCTGCACTGGCTGAATTGGTCATTAAAACGCCGCTAGTGACAGAATGTAGGTGAAACCACATAAAGCGGGGATGGCCCTTTAAGGATAGAGAGGCGGGTAGGCGGGGGTGGTCTGCCTGGCCAATGGGAAGCTTGGGTTCCATGAATGTTTAGACCAATCAGAGAGCGGAATGTCACAGAGGCTCCGCCCTTCTCCTGCTGCTTCCTGGAAATTTTGGACACTGTCTTTCGGACCGTTTTATTTATTGACATTACAACAAACTGCTGTGTAGGAAATTCTCCTGTTAATGATGTTCAGTGAGACCTGATTGGGATTTAATTTGATTAATTAAATCAATGCTTAAAAAGATTGGAGTGCAGATTACCAGGTCATCCAATAGATTTAAAATTAAGGTTTAGCACTTGGCCAAATATTGTTTTTATTCTATTGAGTGTAATTTTATTCTTAATTGTGTGTCTTGTCCAATTGTGAGTTTTATGGTTTATGTTACTAAAGCTTTAACTTCATTGAACATCATCGTGCTCCAACAGCTGAACCTTTTGGCCCATATCTAAAACATTGGACCTTCTCTACTGAGTTACAAGTGGGTGGAGGATGTTGGTGTCCTTCTGATGCCTGATTAAACCTCAAACCACTGAGCATTTCTACTGGTGCTTTAGTTAAAATGGTAACCAGTTTAACCAGTGCTCGAGCTGATTTGGGTCAGATTCATGTTTTAGTTGATCTGGAGGATGTTGTTTATTAAACCACTGGTATTCCTCTGACTGCTGTTTTAATTTGCTTGGTTATCAGGTTAACCTGGTAGCTGAACAGCAGTAGAACTGGTGTTGTAGTGATTCCAGTCATCAGTTTATCTGCTGCTGCTGCCAGGGTTTAGCAGCGCTGTCTGCGCTGATGCCTGATTGAAACAGTGCTGTTTGTTCCTGTTGATGTTCGCTGCTCTCTGCTCTCTGGCTCCCTGCTGTGATACACATGCTGCTCAGATCAGGGGGGTTGAAGGCAACCCACCATCACTACACATTTTTAAAAGTATAGCACATTAATATGCTCAAAGTAGTGAACAAAATGGAATCTGAGGTTGGCTGAATCAGACACCAACTTCAGCTGGATAATACCAACCAGGCTCTGATGTATGGAAACCATCTGGCTCTCTGTCTCCTCCAGAAACCTGAGAACCAGGATGGGAAACACCACTGCTGTCCCCACTGTGGGAAGGTCTTCAGCAGAGCCTGTGGCCTGTGGAGACACCAGAAGATCCACAGAGGAGAGAAGCCGTACGGCTGTGGCGAGTGTGGGAAGACGTTCGGCCAGGCGGCCCACCTGAAGCGACACCAGAACATCCACAGCGCGGAGCAGAGCTTCCTCTGCCCGCAATGTGGGAACACCTTCACCCAGAAGGAAACCCTGAAGCTGCACCTGGAGCGCGTCCACAGCCGCCTGCAGCCCTACAGCTGTCAGGACTGCGGGAAACGTTTCTCCAAGCGCAGCAAACCTCAAGGTCCACCAGCTGCTGCACAGCGGAGAAAAGCCGCACGCGTGTGAGGCCTGTGGGAAAACGTTCAGGGACCGCAGCCACCTGAGGAACCACCGGGTCACCCACAGCGGGGAGAAACCCTTCTGGTGCGAGGAGTGTGGGAAGATGTTCACCCGGCCCGGTTCCCTGAGGACACCAGAGGAGCCACACCAGGGAGAGACCGTACTGCTGCGACTTCCTGGTCAATGTGAAGCATGAATGTTCTGCAGATGAAATGTTCTGTTCAGACCCAAAGATGACATCATCCTGAACCAAAATAAACATTTTAAATCTGTTTTATTCTCTCAGTCTTCATTGTTTCCAGATCAGAACTTGCAGCCTCACAATTCAGACTAAACTGTTATCAGCTATATTATCATTTCATCTTCTACTCTGTAGTTCAGTCAAGTTTTTTTAGCTTAGCGTTTTTTTTCTGAGAAGATCTGGATGATATACAGTTTATTGTTTTGTGGATATAGTAACAATATTTTTCTCAGTCAAAGAAATAAATCCTGTGTGGAACAGATCAGCTTGAGATTCTGGTAAATAGCAAAGATCTTTATTTCTCTGTGGTTTGCAAACGGAGAAAAAACGCAGCAGCAGCAGCTGAACCCAGTAGCTGCAAGTCTCACAATATACAGGATTCTTACACAACATGGTCACTTCCTGACCCAGAGCCAGTTGAACAGGTTTACTGCCCAGTCATGGAGCCACAGGATGGACAGGATGCATCTCTCCTTACTGAAAGGTCAGTTCATTATTTACTTAACAAACATCTTGTTGTACAAAATATGGGAGTTTCCAAAAATCAGGATGATAATGGAACAATTTTCCAAACCAAAAACATTGTCAGACCTTCTAGAACATTTTCTCTGAGCTTCTGACATTCAATGTAGAGATTTGTTTGACCTTATTATTCCATCTTACTGTATTTACCTAAACTATCTGTTATTATCTGTTAACAAACACTGGCGCCTTATTTCAGTCACTGACAGCAACAGGAACTTTTCCAAGCAGAGGTCAAATGGAAACCTGATTCTTCAGAGACTCCTTGACCTCCATGTTTTAACAGTCATTTAACAATATTAGTGTTAAATGACTGAAATAATTAAAATCTCCTGGCTGTAATAAAATAAGAACACAATTTTTACTTCACACCTGATCCTGGTTTTATTCAGAATCACGCAGAATGAATCCCTCGTTCCAACCTCACGTCTGTTAGCCACACATAGCTACTGCTAGCTGTGGCCCAGCTGTAAACACGCTGCAGGCTCTTAGCCTAGCAGCTATCAGACGTAGCTAGCAGAGCGGCTAATTCTCCTTGGTTATCAGAACTGGACAGAAAAAACATTGTTTTATTATTCAAGGTGTTTCTACAGAATCATTACAAACAGAGCAGCGAAAGCTAACTGCAGTTCAAACTTCAGCCTGAGTGATTTAAGGTGAACTGCTTTCATTTTCCTTCCTTTTCTTGGCACCAAGTTAGCTTAAAGCTAACGCTAGCTCAGCTGGACACAGCTCTGGCTGCAGTCAATAAAGATTAAACAATATTTAAACACCAAAACTTTATTCATTTAAACTGTTTTCATGGTACTAAATAGATCAATACAGTCAATGACCCAAAAGGATATTGATCTCTAATTTCTGATGGTAAAGAAGATGATGGACAGGAAGTCCAGAGGAAGGAAACGAGGAGTCGGTCTGGAGTTTCTGTCTTTATTGGAAAAAACTCATGAGATCATGATGTTGGTCCTGCTCTCACACACACACACACACACACACACACACACACACACACACACACACACACACACACACACACACACACACACACACACTCTCTCTCTCTCTCACAGGAATAAAAAAGTAGAAGCTAAGAAGTCGAGGTCGTCCGGAGCGTCCAGGTCTCTGTACTCGATGATGGACCGCGGGTCGCCCCTCAGGCCCCTAAACACAGACAGAGGTTCTGATCGGACCGCTGGTCCGGTTCTGATCGGACCGCCGGTCCGGTTCTGATCGGACCGCCGGTCCGGCTCTGATCGGACCGCCGGTCCGGCTCTGATCGGACCGCCGGTCCGGCTCTGATCGGACCGCCGGTCCGGCTCTGATCGGACCGCCGGTCCGGCTCTGATCGGACCGCCGGTCCGGCTCTGATCGGACCGCCGGTCCGGCTCTGATCGGACCGCCGGTCCGGCTCTGATCGGACCGCCGGTCCGGCTCTGATCGGACCGCCGGTCCGGTTCTGATCGGACCGCCGGTCCGGTTCTGATTGGTTCTGTGTACCTGCTGCTCCGTTGTTTCCCTGGAAACGCTCCTCCTCCTCTGAAGTTGTCATAGTGACCGCGGCCCGGCCCGAACTGGCCGGCGCCAGGTGGGGTCCAACACCTGCAGGTCCAAACAGAGCGTCAGCCTGGCTCCGCCCCCTCGGGTTCCGACCCGGAGCCTCACCTACCTGGGAATCCGGGCAGCGGCGGCCTGACGCCTGGAGGATATCCCAGAAGGCTTTGCTGCTGCGGAGACTGACCAGGAAACGCCGCCATGCTTGGAGGACCGGCTGGGGGCGGAGCCAGAGGAGGGGTCAGAGGTCAACCAGCCAACAGCATGCTAACATTAGCCTAGCCCGTATCAGAGGCCAATCGGGTACCTTGAACCGGCGGTGGGAGGGGCTTGTGTTCCGGGAGGGCGGGTCTCTTGGCGTCCAACAGGAAGTTGTTGTAGAACTCCACTTCCTGTCTGACGGCGGTCACCTTCTCGCCATGTTTGTTCAGGATGTGTTTACGGACGAACTCTGGGGCCTGAACAACAACGCCGTCAGCCACAGTTACCACGGCAACCAGAGAGAGGGGCGGGGCCTCACCTTGAACTTCTTCCCACTCAGAGGACAAAGCCACTTGTCTTTACTGAGCTCCTGAGTGTTGGAGGCCAGGAACGTCTCCACCTGGGGACAGGAGACACATCAGGAGACAGACAGGTGGAGACACAGACAGGTGGAGACACAGACAGGTGGACACACAGACAGGTGGAGACAGACAGGTGGAGACACAGACAGGTGGACAGTACCTCCTGTTCCGGGTCTTTCTTTCCGAGCCGAACCGCTTCCTCTTCGCTCAGCGTCTCCGTCAGTGAGAACAGAGGAGCCAGACGCTCCTCACACATCCTCAGGTGTTCAGTCACTGTCCAATCAGAGCACAGCACCGCCCTCATCATCATCATCATCATCATCATCATCATCATCATCACAGTAACCGTTCGGTGAGATCTGAGCCTCATGGCGGCGCCTCTGTAACGTTCCTGAACTTTAAAGAGCCAGAGTTACATTTGTTTATTGATGATTATTTATGTTTGTTTTTCAGACACACAGCTCCATTTTATTGCATAATCAATAACTATGTCACCTTAAATTAAAATTAATCTAACTTAACAGAAAATTGATTTAGTAAATTGGGCCTCTGTCTCTTTAAGAAGCCCCTGCTCTCTCTGAAGCTCCGCCTCCAGGAAGTCATTCCAACATGGCTCCTCTATTAACCCTTTAGACCAGGGGGGGGGCAGTCCTGGTCCTGGAGGGCCTGCAACTCTCAGACGTCTCTGGTCCAACACAGCTGAATCTCCTCCTCAGTCCGGTCCGGTCCAGTCTGGTCCGGTCCGGTTCTGCTGATGACGTCATTATTAAGTGTTGAAGTGGAGATGCATCTAAAAGCTGCAGCAGACCCTCCAGGCCTGGAGTTGCCCCAAAGCGTTCCTCTGAGCTGATGCTTGCTAATTGCTGCTGACTAGTCTGAAGGAGCTGAGGGGGAGGAGCTACGCCTCGAAGGCGGGGCTCCGTCCACCCAGGTGTTTAGCAGCTACATGGTTGACATGGAGATGAAACAATTTCTGAAACATGAAAGAAACCCTCCAGGAAAAATGTAAAGGTTACTGATGCTGTACTTTGACTAGGCCGTGTTGCAGTGCGGCTCACCCTCTGCCGGAGTGATGCGGGCCACCGGCAGCGGGCCCCGGATGTGGATGAGGCCGCAGCGGTGCGGCATCTCGTCCTCAGACGGATACTCGCAGAAGTTGTAGTAATCCACAGAGTGGACCAGACGCAGGTAGAGCAGCAACCGGTCCAGAACCTGAACACAGAACCGGGTCAGAACCTGAACACAGTCAGAACCTGAACACAGTCAGAACCTGAACAGAGTCAGAACCTGAACACAGTCAGAACCTGAACACAGAACGGGTCAGAACCTGAACACAGTCAGAACCTGAACAGAGTCAGAACCTGAACAGAGTCAGAACCTGAACACAGAACCGGGTCAGAACCTGAACACAGTCAGAACCTGAACACAGAACCGGGTCAGAACCTGAACACAGAACCGGGTCAGAACCTGAACACAGAACCGGGTCAGAACCTGAACACAGTCAGAACCTGAACACAGAACCGGGTCAGAACCTGAACACAGTCAGAACCTGAACACAGAACCGGGTCAGAACCTGAACACAGGACCGGGTCAGAACCTGAACACAGAACCGGGTCAAAACCTGAACACAGAACCGGGTCAGAACCTGAGCACAGGACCGGGTCAGAACCTGAACACAGAACCGGGTCAGAACCTGAGCACAGGACCGGGTCAGACCTGAACACAGAACCGGGTCAGAACCTGAGCACAGGACCGGGGTCAGAACCTGAACACAGAACCGGGTCAGAACCTGAACACAGAACCGGGTCAGAACCTGAACACAGAACCGGGTCAGAACCTGAACACAGTCAGAACCTGAACACAGAACCGGTCCAGAACCTGAACACAGCACCGGGTCAGAACCTGAACACAGAACCGGGTCAGAACCTGAGCACAGGACCGGGTCAGAACCTGAACACAGAACCGGGTCAGAACCTGAACACAGTCAGAACCTGAACACAGAACCGGGTCAGAACCTGAACACAGAACCGGGTCAGAACCTGAACACAGTCAGAACCTGAACACAGAACCGGGTCAGAACCTGAGCACAGGACCGGGTCAGAACCTGAACACAGAACCGGGTCAGAACCTGAACACAGAACCGGGTCAGAACCTGAGCACAGGACCGGGTCAGAACCTGAACACAGAACCGGGTCAGAACCTGAGCACAGGACCGGGTCAGAACCTGAACACAGAACCGGGTCAGAACCTGAACACAGAACCGGGTCAGAACCTGAACACAGAACCGGGTCAGAACCTGAACACAGTCAGAACCTGAACACAGAACCGGTCCAGAACCTGAACACAGCACCGGGTCAGAACCTGAACACAGAACCGGGTCAGAACCTGAACACAGCACCGGGTCAGAACCTGAACACAGAACCGGGTCAGAACCTGAACACAGTCAGAACCTGAACAGAGTCAGAACCTGAACACAGAACCGGGTCAGAACCTGAACACAGAACCGGGTCAGAACCTGAACACAGTCAGAACCTGAACAGAGTCAGAACCTGAACACAGAACCGGGTCAGAACCTGAACACAGAACCGGGTCAGAACCTGAACACAGTCAGAACCTGAACAGAGTCAGAACCTGAACACAGAACCGGGTCAGAACCTGAGCACAGGACCGGGTCAGAACCTGAGCACAGGACCGGGTCAGAACCTGAACACAGTCAGAACCTGAACAGAGTCAGAACCTGAACACAGAACCGGGTCAGAACCTGAACACAACCGGGTCAGAACCTGAACACAGTCAGAACCTGAACAGAGTCAGAACCTGAACACAGAACCGGGTCAGAACCTGAACACAGAACCGGGTCAGAACTTGAGCACAGGACCGGGTCAGAACCTGAACACAGCACCGGGTCAGAACCTGAACACAGAACCGGGTCAGAACCTGAGCACAGGACCGGGTCAGAACCTGAACACAGGACGGGTCAGAACCTGAACACAGAACCGGGTCAGAACTTGAGCACAGGACCGGGTCAGAACCTGAACACAGAACCGGGTCAGAACCTGAACACAGCACCGGGTCAGAACCTGAACACAGAACCGGGTCAGAACCTGAACACAGGACCGGGTCAGAACCTGAACACAGAACCGGGTCAGAACTTGAGCACAGGACCGGGTCAGAACCTGAACACAGAACCGGTCCAGAACCTGAACAGAGAACCGGGTCAGAACCTGAGCACAGGACCGGGTCAGAACCTGAACACAGGACCGGGTCAGAACCTGAACAGAGAACCGGGTCAGAACCTGAGCACAGGACCGGGTCAGAACCTGAACACAGAACCGGGTCAGAACCTGAACACAGTCAGAACCTGACCACAGAAACCGGGTCAGAACCCAAACACAACACACCCCACAGGCCCCGCCCACCTGCAGCAGGTTCTGGTCCGTTTCCACGGGAACGTCGGCAGCCTTGGGTTCGTCGTCGGCGCCGGCGGTTCCGATTAGCTCCTCCTCGGCGCTGACCTCCTCGATCAGATAGTCGGTGATGTTCTGCAGAACCGGGTTGGTCTTGGCCTGCGGGAGAAGAGGCGTTCTGTGTGAGCGGGTCGGGTTCTGGTTCCGGTCGGGTCCGGGCGGTTCCGTACCTCTGTGGTCCACAGCGCCCCCCGCTGGTCCAGGCTGTGGACGAGGCGCGCCGCCAGCCGGACGTCGTTCCGCGCCACGGGCCGGTGGTGCGTCAGGCCGTTGACGGTCCGGACCCGCCGGCTCAGGTCCCGGTTCACCACCGGCGCCAGCTCACAGTCCCTGAGCTGAGACAGCAAAACCAGCTGTTAGCGGCCCGGTTCTGGAGGTTCTGACGGTTCTGATGGCGCTCTGGGTTACCCTGACGTTCTGAAGGTTCCAGCACGTCTCCTTGATGTTGACGCTGCGGTCAAAGGTCACCCAGCACCGCCGGAAGAACCTGCAACACCGACACAGAACGATTCTGATCCAGTTCTGACCCGACAAGGCCACCGGCGGAACCGGGTCGACCGGCCGAGAAAACCAGTACCTCCGCTCTGGCTGAGGGTCCGACAGCGCCACCCGCAGGAAGCCGGGGTACCTGCGACACAGCTGCAGACAGGAAGTGGGTTAGAGGTCTGGTTTCTGGTTTAAGTCTGGTTCTGTTCGGGTCCGGTTCCGGTTCTTACGGCGGTGACCTCGGCCTTGGCGACCTCTGGAGCGATGCTCCTGATGAACAGGGAGGTGGTCAGGTGCAGGGGGCGGGGCGTGGGCGGAGCCTCCTCTCTCTCTGGACAGGGCTCTGAAACAACAGGAGTACTGTGACCTCTGACCTTTAGGGCGGAGCTCCAGCATCTCTGGGTACTGACCCTCTTCCTCCTTCTCAGAGTGGGAGGAGTCGGAGCCGCTGCCCTCTCCGCTGCCCTCGCCGCTGTCCGCCGACAGGCTGCGCTTCCTCTTCCTGCCCTGAGAGGAAGAGGCGGGGTTACCGATGACCTTCACAGCCTTCAGAACCTGGAGGATCCGCGGGTCAGAACCAGAACACCTGATGAGGATGAGGATGAAACTCACCTTCTTCATTGTCTTCTCCTCTTCCTCTCTCTCCTCCTTTGGGCCGCCCGGATCCTCGTGGTTCTGGAGACGACATAAGACCGACAATAGATTCTGACGGACCCAGCAGAACCAACCGGATCAGAACCAGCTAGATCTGGTTCTGAAACCCGGCCCGGTTCTCCATGCTGTCGGTTTCACCCAGTTGGACGCAGTTTTGACTCCAACTGAATCTCAATGTTTCTGAAAAAACTTGATAAATAACAATAGATAACAATAATAAATGATAATAAATTATCAATAATAATTGACTGTTAATAAAAACCGTTTCTTTTGGTCCAACAGAATCAATTAAACTGATAAACAGAAGTGGACCGGAGCAGACAGCCTGACTAACTCAGCTTATAGTTCTACAGAAACTCAACAACAGAAGAAGAAGAGATTCTGCAGAGTCAGCAGTGAACCGCCTCATGGTTCTGGTTCCGACCTGGTCGGGTTCCTTGGTTCCCTCAGCGCCGTCTGTCCCGTCCGTCTGAGCGCCGCCGCTTCCCTCCTTTGGAGCCGCCTGGCTCTTCTCTGCTGCGTCTCCGCCGCCCCCTGCTGGAGCCTCCAGGACCTGCAGGTCAAAGTCCGTCCCTCCCTCCATCTTGATCACAGCTGCAGAGACCAACAGGACCACGTTACCCAGGAGCCCCCAGGCAGGGCCACATTACCCACAATGCCCCTCCCCACCTGCGTCCAGCAGCTTGATGATGGCCGCCTCGTGCTGCATGTCCAGAGAGACGCCGTCCAGCCAGCGGTTGTCCAGCAGGAACAGGAAGACGGCCAGCCGGGTCTGCAGGGCGGCCAGAGACTCCGCTTTCCTGGCTGTGATGTCATCAGGGTGGTACTTGGACCGGAACCACTCGTGCTCCTTGTGCTGGACGAAGAAGTCCTGCAGCTGCTGGCGCCGGAAGTCCAGTTTGTACTGATTGTAGCGCTTCACCGCCTCCGTCTCGTCCACGCTGTCCTCCATGTTCAGCAGGAACTCCTGGGGTCACACAGAGGTCACCACCAGGGGTCACACAGAGGTCACCACCAGGGGTCACACAGAGGTCACCACCAGGGATCACACAGAGGTCACCACCAGGGGTCACACAGAGGTCACCACCAGGGATCACACAGAGGTCACCACCAGGGGTCACACAGAGGTCACCACCAGGGGTCACACAGAGGTCACCACCAGGGGTCACACAGAGGTCACCTCCATGTTCGGTTCCTCACCTTGAAGCTCCTCATGCTGGGCGGTCCCGGAGGCGGCAGGTCCGGGTCCAGCAGCCCCAACCTGAACACAACACAAAACCATGAGCCGACCTGCGACCCGGTTCTGACCCGGTCCGGCCTCGTGGTTCTGACCCGCTGCAGTAGCTCACCTGCCCTGCAGGGGGAGCCCTCCAGGGTGGGGGTGCAGGTGGGGGAAGTCGTGGTGCCAGGCCTGAGGCCCCGCCCCGGAAACGGAGCCCCGCCTCCTCCGTAGGGCGGCTCGTAGCGGTACGGCTCCCCCCGGTGGTCGTCCTGGAAACACACGGACCGTCAGCATGCTGGGTCACAACTGTGAGTCACTTTGGATCAGAACCGGGTCAGTTAAAACCAGGTCAGGACCAGTCAGAACCTCACCAGTCTCTCCTCAGCCGTTTGTGCTGCGGGCTGATGTGTCGCGGCGGCGAGAAGCGGTCCCTGCGTCCGCGGTCGTAGTCCCGCCTCCTCTCCCTGCCGCGCTCCCCACTCCCTGAACCCACAGAACCAGAACCATCAGAGGGTCCACAACAACTCAACACAGAGATGACTTTAACTGGTTCTGGTTCTCCACAGAGTAAACTAAACGGGTCAGAACCAGAACCAGAACCAGAAGTCACAGCCTGGTTCTGGATCTGTAGCGTTCGGACCTGTCGGCCCAGTCGTCCCTGCGCCGCTCCTCCCTCTCTCTGGACCGCTCCATGTCGCTGCGTTCCCGTCTGAACTTGTCCCGTCTCCGACGGTCCAACTCGTCGTCGCTGTCGCCCATCTGAGGGAGACACACAGTCAGAACCGGACCAGAACCAGGCCGGAACCAGAAACTCTGGTCCGTCTCCTGCTGACGGTTCAAACCAAAACACTGTGACGTTTCAGACATCAGCTGAACATATTGATCATAACTAATCAGTGATCAGGAGCTGAAACTAATACTTATGATTATTGTTCGATTATCTGAATGATCAGTTTGAGGAGCTGCAGATTAATCAGCCTGGAACCAAAACCACGTCATCTGTTCTAATAAACTGAAGCAGAGATTATTAATCTGTGATCAATAATCACAGATTAATACACCTTAATGAAAACAGCCGCGGCTGTTTCATTAAAGTGTTAAACTGGAAACATCCAATAACTAACAGCAGATTATATAAAACGCAATAAACCATGTTTGATAAAATCATTTATTAAGGGAGATTCCCGCTGCAATGTGTTAGCATCAGTTTAGCTCCTGAGGCTAACAGGATACTTAGCAACAGAGCTCGCTGAATAAAACGTCTCTTTGCGGGATTCATGCGTTTATCTGCGTTCATCAGCATTTTCTCCTGATTGGAATCAAACTTTATCAAGAGGTTTTGGTTCAGTTTACCTGGAAAAAAGCTCCACTTCGACTCCCAGAAGCACAAACTAGCCGCTAAGCTAACAGAGTGCCGCCACAGATCACTGTGGACCAACGACACTTCCGGTTGAGCTCGGCTGCGTAAGAAAGTTAGCTTTGCCCCTAGTGGTTAAATGAGGAACTACAAGCTGGCTGGTGAATCTGTGGCTTCATTATTGACAGATTTTAAATAAATGAATTTTCCCTGGGCGTTTTATTTTACATATTTATTGCACAATTAAACAAATTTCCACAAAAACTCATACATTGTTAGAAGTCTTTTTATCATTTGAAGTGTTCAGCATGTTTATTTTTTCTCCAAATATTATAAATCTCTTTAGAAAAGAGTGAAAATGAACCACAATGACCTCGCAAAGATAAATTCTAACATCTGAGAACAACCTTAAAAAATACCTTTATGCCCTTTTTGTGATTATTTCCTTTCTTATTGTTTCATTTATCAGCTCATTAATTCATTGGCTGAACTATTTATTAATGAATGAATAACAGACTGAATTAATAAAAGCATAACTGAACAGTTTGGTTCTGTTGGGTTCTGAACCGGACCTGAGGTTCTGCTGAACCACCATCTTGGTTCTGGGTTGGTAGAAACATGACAGCAGTCACATGACCCGGTTCTGATGGAGCAGCATCCACTGAACTTTACTGTATTCTTTACTTTAGATATATTTCATAACAAAATTAAACTTTATGATCTTTATCTCTTGAACCGGGCGTGGTCACAATGGGGCGGGGCTTCTGTGTGTGACGCTCCATGGACTCAGTGGTTCAGTTTTCTGGCTCAAATTGTGATGTGGAGGTAGAGAGAGGAGCAGCAGCTCTCCTATTGGCTGGCTCAGCCTAGGGGGAGGAGCCAGAGACCTGCAGGAGGGAGGATCAGAGGGACATTGAGGGACGGCAGAGACAGGTGGACAGCAGAGACATAGAGCGACGCCCTGCAGGGGGACAGACCTGTCGTCCTCGTCCTGAGAAGACGGTGGTCAGTCCGCTGCGCTTCTGGACGCGTCTCAGAGGACATGTCTCTCCTGGTCAGCTCTGACAGCAGCTCTGGACTGGACAGGGACAGACCTGGACAGAGACGGGTCAGAACCAGATCGAGTCCACAGAACCAGAACCCACAGGCCCCTCTATCTGGGGATCATCAGTGTTTTCCAAAGTGGCCTCCCACCACCAGGGGGCGCTGTGGGAGACTCAGGAAGTTGGAAGATGAAAAAAAAAACTTTTTATGTTGCATTATAGTTTTTTTGTTGTTCTCAATGAAACTAAAATATAAATGAAAATGTTTTTCTGATGCTCGATCCTGATTGGCTGGATTCCTCCGGTTAGCTTAGCGAGCTAGAAACGGAAAGTTAATATTTATGCTGATTAAACATAATAATTATTCAATAAGTTTTCTTTTTGGTCTGTGGGGTCAGAGGTCACAGCTGTTCAGATCACCTGGTCTAAACTCACCTGGGGAGGAGTCAGGCTGCCTGGGGGGGGAGTAGGGGGAGGCAGGGGGCGGAGCCTGCGGGGAGGGGGAGGGGAGGGGGGAGCAGGAGGAGGAAGGGGAGGAGCTTAGCGGGGAGGAGGCGTCGCTCTGGGACTCCAGCCTCCTCTGGCGCTCTGGAAGGAAGGAGACGGAGGTCAGGGCCAGGATGGAGGTTCTGGTTCCGGTCCGGTCCGGTTCTCACCTTTCAGGAACTCGTCCTGGACTCGCCGGCTGGTGATGGAGAAGAACGGGGGCGGAGCTTCCTCTGAGGAAGGGCCTCCCATAGACCTCATGGTGGCGCTGCAGACAGAGGAGGAGAAGAAGAAGAAAGGTCGGGTCAGACCGACCGGATCAGAACCAGCCTGAACCGACCTGCTGGGTTCAGGTTAAAGGTTAAAGGTCCAGTAGCAGACCGGATCAGAACCGATCAGAACCACCTGGATGCTGGTATCACAGCGTCTCACCGTATGAACAGAACATGGACTGGAGGTCAAAGGTCAGTCCAATCCAAACTTCTCACACAGGCAGAAGCTTCGAGGTATGGAAAGCCAAAAGGGCCAAAAACTCAATGCAGTAAATAATTATTAATGTAAATTAATAAATGTTTTAACTTTCTATCATAAAGTTCTTTATCATAAATAAAAATTTTTTTTATTTAAATTATTAAAACTATTTCATTTGATGATTTTCTGGAAACATCCTGATTTATTTTAGCTCTGCCTTCCAGGTCACGCAGCAGAGAAGCTGATTGGTCAACAGCTGAGCTGCTGGGCTGGTCGACCAATCAGATGAGAGAACTCGTAATGAAAACATTTAAATGATCTCAGTCATAACAGGAAGGGTTAAAAACGTGTATTTAATTTAACTTAATAAAAAAACAGGTTTTCAAAATACAAACGTGAAAAATATATTTGAAATTTTCTTTAAATTATCAGACTCAATAACTCATTTATTAGCCTGTTGCTTTCTGGGCTTCATGTTAACAGGATGGTCATCCAGAACCGGATCATCCAGAACAAGTTCTGGATGATCCGGTTCTGAAGAAAAACCAGGAAGGAAAGCAGAGACGGAAATCCAAAACTAAATACTGTGAATATTAATGAATTTAACAGGAAGTTTGGTGTTCATTAAATATTAAACTGGTTTCATTGTCAAAGGGTTCTGGTTCTGCAAGAGGAGGTTCCTCTACCATCGGATCAGAACCAACTGATCCGGACCAGAACACCAGAACAAATAATAACTGAATAAAGAGTTACATCACATTTTATGAGTTTTTATCTTCATAATTAATCAAAGCACAGAGATAATTCCACTGATACCTGAAGGTTAAAGTTCAAACTCCTGATGACTGGCAGCAAATGAAACCGGATCAGAACCGCAAAGGAAACTGACTGATGAAAAGAGACGGGGTTACAGGGTAAAGGTCAGGAGGTCAAACTAATGAAGAGAGAATCAAACCAACAAACAAACTAAAATCTGTCTCAGATTATCAGCTGAACCCGATGAAGGACGGGTCTGGTTCTGAATCCGTCGGTAACCGGTCCATTTGTCCGAACCTGAGTTTAACTGTTAATAACATGAGTTTGAGTGTCAATAACAGGAAACAGAGAAAGTTTACTTCCTGTTCTCTGGGTTTTGTGGGAAGCAACACCATAAAAAGATAATTTCATCAGTTTTATTTTTTTATTTCTAGAATCATCAAAAAATATCAAAACTGCAGGCAAATGAAACAATCCAGAAAACAAAACTCTGAAACCCGTCTGTCCTCATGGTCCAACACAAACCTGAGACAAGTTCTGATTTATTATCCAACAGTCAGACGATGCACTGAATTAAGAATATTTCCATCAGTAATCTGTCATCTATAATCTGCATCAGGGCCAGAATGCAGAGGAACACAGCGGCTAGCTAGCTGCAATGTTCCAGCAGCTACTAGCTGCTGTTCCTGCTAGCTAGCTGCTCTGTTCCTATTGGCTAACTGCTCTGTTCCTATTGGCTAACTGCTCTGTTCCTATTGGCTAGCTGCTCTGTTCCTATTAGCTAGCTGCTATGTTCCTATCGGCTAGCTGCTCTGTTCCTATTAGCTAGCTGCTCTGTTCCTATTAGCTAGCTGCTCTGTTCCTATTGGCTAGCTGCTCTATTTCTATTAGCTAGCTGCTCTGTTCCTATAAGCTAGCTGCTCTGTTCCTATAAGCTAGCTGCTCTGTTCCTATAAGCTAGCTGGTCTATTCCTATTGGCTAGCTGCAGTTTCTGTTAGTTAGCTGCTGTTCCTGTTAGCTAGCCACCATTTCTGTTAGCTTAGCTGTTCCACCTGAAGCCATTAAAGTATTTGCTGGACCAGCTGCTGATCCAGCTGGACCAGCAGCTGGATCAGCAGCTGGACCAGCAGCTGGACCAACAGCTGGACCAGCAGCTGGACCAACAGCTGGACCAGCAGCTGGACCAGCAGCTGGATCAGCAGCTAGATCAGCAGCTGGATCAGCAGCTGGATCAGCAGCTGGACCAGCAGCTGGATCAGTTTTACATCAGACCTGAAGTTCTCCAGAACCTGAACCCAGACCTGATGTCAGGAGAACCGGGTTCTGCAGGACAACCAGGGTCCAGGTTCTGGTTCTGGATGGTTATTCTAGAGCTCCGATCCACACCAAGAGTCAAGCCGGATGAAACTGGACCTGTATGAGCAGAGTAAATGGTTCTGCAGTAGAACCCAACAGAACCTGATGGTTCTGAAATTGTGAGTCAATCAGAACCTTTAGGGTTAAAGGTCACTGAGACGGAGGAGAAGCTCTGAAAGATGTTGGACCTCTCTGGATTGTCTGCAGACTAATCTGGGTCGAACCGGTCCCTCACCAGAGTTGACCTTCAAGACCCGGTTCAACATCAGAACCAGTCTCTGGGTTGCTGGTTCCAAACCAGCCTCACGGCCCGAAGGTCAGCAACGACCAGAACCAGAGACCGGATTGGATCCGACCTCCAGTTAATCCCAGAACCAGAACCGGCCCAGTGCTCCCAGTTGGTACTTACTGACTGGTTGAGGCGGCGGCTCCTCACAGCGATGGCGTCCTGCAGCCGGAGACGAACGGCTGGAGGGAGAGAGTGAGTGTGTGTGTGTGAGAGTGTGTGTGTGTGAGTGTGTGTGTGTGTGTGTGAGAGTGTGTGTGAGTGTGTGTGAGAGTGTGTGTGTGAGTGTGTGCAGAGTGTGTGTGTGAGTGTGTGTGTGTGTCTCTGTGTGTGAGTGTGTGTGTGTGAGAGTGTGTGTGTGTGAGTGTGTGTGTGTGTGTGTGTGAGAGTGTGTGTGTGTGAGTGTGTGTGTGAGAGTGTGTGTGGTGTGTGTGTGTGAGTGTGTGTGTGTGTGTGTGTGTGCAGGTAAAGCATCAGGCGAATCTAAAGTCCACTGTAATGATTGACGGTGTTTATGGTGCGGTTGCCATGGTGACCAGGACAGGTGGACTTTGAGGACGCCGTGGAGACGTAAACACCTCAGGAGCTCTGAGCCCGGGAGCTGACCTCTGACTGGCTGCAGGTTAAAGGTCAGAGGTCAGCCAGTAGCTGCTGCTGCAGCGCTAACAGGAAGTGCAACTTTAGAGACAGGACATTTTATTTTGAAAGGTCAGAAATCAACAACATTTATTTCAGTTTCAGAACAAAATGAAATGAAAACATCCAGGAGATCCGGGTCGGTTCTGGTTCTGGTTCCCGCCAACTGGAACGAGCTCAGGTGACCTCCTGTGGAACCTCAGGGTTCTGGTGGTTCTGGTTCTGCAGTGAAGGCAGAGACGGGTCAGAACCAACTGGGTCGTCCAGGTTCTGGAGCGTCCTGACCCAGAGAACCATGGAGCAGCGTCTCCGACCAGCAGCAGCAGTCCAACATGTCCTGCGGTCCGGTCCAAAGCGTCCATCTGGTCCAATCCGGTCCGAAGCGTCTTCAGAGCGTCCACTTCAGACACCTGCAGAGACGGTGGACAGGTGAGCAGGATAGAGGACACCAGGTGTCCCTCTCTGCAGCGCCCCCTACCTGGTCTCCCTGTGTGTGAGCAGACACCTGGTGCTGCAGTAGCGCCCCCGCAGGTGGTGCAGGTGTAGTGGGACGGGAAGCCGCAGACACAGCAGAAGAGACGCGGCGGCAAAGAGGAGGGCGGGGCCGCCGCTGACAGGTAGTTAGGCTCCGCCCTCTCCGACAGGTTCTGCCAATCAGAGAGCAGCATGAAACCATCAGCCAATCAGAGAGCAGCATGAAACCATCAACCAATCAGAGAGCAGCATGAAACCATCAACCAATCAGAGAGCAGCATGAAGCCATCAGCCAATCAGAGAGCAGCATGAAGCCATCAGCCAATCAGAGAGCAGCATGACACCATCAGCCAATCAGAGAGCAGCATGACACCATCAACCAATCAGAGAGCAGCATGAAACCATCAACCAATCAGAGAGCAGCATGAAGCCATCAGCAAATCAGAGAGCAGCATGACACCATCAGCCAATCAGAGAGCAGCATGAAACCATCAGTCAATCAGAGAGCAGCATGAAACCATCAACCAATCAGAGAGCAGCATGAAACCATCAGCCAATCAGAGCAGCATGAAACCATCAACCAATCAGAGAGCAGCATGAAACCATCAGCCAATCAGAGAGCAGCATGAAACCATCAACCAATCAGAGAGCAGCACGAAACCATCAGCCAATCAGAGAGCAGCATGAAACCATCAACCAATCAGAGAGCAGCATGAAACCATCAGCCAATCAGAGAGCAGCATGAAACCATCAACCAATCAGAGAGCAGCATGAAACCATCAACCAATCAGAGAGCAGCATGAAACCATCAGCCAATCAGAGAACAGCTACCTCCTCCTCCAGCAGGGTGGTGAAGTTCTTCCTGAAGCGCTGCTTGAAGTGATCGCCCCTCGTCTTCCTCCTCTTCTTCTCTGAGGACAAAGAGACTGAGATGAACGGACGGGAGGACAGACAGGAGGTCAGAGTCCATCAGGAGGACAGAGCGTCCATCAGGAGCTCAGAGTCCATCAGGAGGTCAGAGTCCATCAGGTGGAGACTCACCTGGCTCTTCTGTCTCACTGAAGGCTGGGAGTCGGGCCGTGGGACCAGGGGGGGGCAGGGAGGTCAGGGGGTCATCCTGGAGACGGAGACAGGAAGAGAAAGTGAGGAAGAGCATCATCATTATCACTGAGACCTGATCTGACCTTTGACCCCTCAGTTTGTCCTGATGCCAGCTGATGATGATGTCACTGATAGGATCCCAGTCCGTTACATCAATGACTGACCGGTTATTGTCCGGAACCATTGAGATCCACCAGAACCCCTGCTGGGCCCAGTCCAGAACCAACCTGGAAGTTGTCTTTCTCCAGAGCCTCCAGCTGCCGGGTCAGCCTCCTCTGCCGGGTCGCCTCATCCAGAACCCTGCGCTGACCCGCTTCGACCCGGGCTGAAACACACGAACCGGTTACTGGACCACCAGTTACTGGACCACCAGTTACTGGACCAAACGTCCCATAAGACCCTCACGCTTAACTTATTACCTATTGAGAGAAAGCTAAAGCTCTTCCGGGTCAAACTGTTTGGTTGAATTTAGTCTGAAAACTTTCTGAAGTGAAACGCCAAGCTGATTCCCCTGAGGGTTTAAAGTTAAACTATTTCAATAAATGTGCAGTTTATAAACACTATAAACCAGCCGTATGGTAGAATAACTAAAAATAATAGTTAGGATGTGAAATAAGTTTATATAACCTTTATAATGATTTATTAAGCCGCTGTTGAGCTCAAACTGGTGGTTTTGTTAATGGAGTCCGCAGCAGAGCGGCTGTTTCCAGCCGGAACCCCGCAGGAAGGGGACAGCAGCGGGAATCCGCTCCGTCCTCCGGCCGGTGGGTCTGACGGACACCCGGCTGCTGCTGCAGCGTCACGTTTATTCATTAATCAGGATAAAATGAGACCAACTCACCGGAGCTTTTCTTCTCCAGCACCATCTTGATTGAACGGCAGCCGCAGGGGTCAAACTGAACGAAACGCGAATGTCCCAGAAACCGTTACTGACCCCAATGAGGAATAAATTAATAAAAATAAAACATAAATATACTTTGAACATTTAAATGAAAAATCCTCTATCCAGAACAGATTATGAAGTGACGTAATTTACGTACATTTACTAAAGGAATCGTGCGGGCGCGTCAGTTGCGCCTCTGCCGCCCCCTGGTGGCCGATCTGCAGATCGTCATCACCTAGAATCTACAGTTCTAAGGGAAAAACAGCTGTAAACACACTAAACAGTTTCTGATTTTCTACAAATATTACTCTCCGAGACAAGCTTGCCTTGTAAATATATTAAATATATTTCCATGGGTGGGCCATATTTACAGCTGTGTTGTCCAAGCCTTTCCCCAAATGAGGAGAAACTAAAGTTTAAAAGCTTTACATTGTACAAATCTAGAACAAAAACATTTAGTTTTATGCCTCAATAATCTCACCAAACATGGAGGAAAAACATTTAGTCTGCTGGCTAATATTACTTTGATTAGTTAATTTCAGTTGGGTGTTTCATGCAGGTCTTTATGCAGGTGGGTGGTCACATGTTTGTTAGCAGTCTACTCAGCCAGTCTACTCAGTCTACTCAGTCAGTCTGCAGGTCTCCAAACACCAGCAGAGCTCCTGTGTTTGTATCACGCTTCACCTGCAACCATGGTATAAACAAAGAACTGCATCGTTGATTTCTGATGAGTTTCAAACCCACAACCCAGAAACCCGCGGCGCTACTTTAGTTAATTTCATTTGTGAATCTTGATATTTAACTCATCAAACGAATATTTAATGATTTCCAAGCTGCTTCTTTTACATTTTAAACATCCAACTTTGATCCAATGGGGAACCAGAGGAGCTGAATGTGGACCGAACTGGACCCGGCTGCTCCAGGCTCACCAGCAGGTCCGGCGGGTCGGTTCTGAAACCAGGAATATTCCAGCAGAAAACATGGAGGACAAACTGGAGACGGCGAACTGTCAGGGAGAAACCGACCAATCACAGCTCAGCTTACTAAAACTTTATTCAGTTCCTTGAAACAAATAACTTAGAGCGGTTTGTTCTGCGTCCTCCAGACAGAACCGGTCCAGAACCAGAACCTCACAGCTAAACATTTACAACAGTATAAAACCCTCTAGCGTTGCCCCGGTAACCGTAAAGTCTAAACATCCCATAAATAATAACGATCGTCCAATCAGAACCTCTTTGGGTCAAATGGTGATTGGATGCTGGAGCGTCACCATGGTAACTTGCTGGAGGTCACTATGGTGACAGAGCGCCCCCTGATGAGTTAAAGTCCTGAACACACACACACACACACACCTGGAGACTCAGGTACAGCAGCACAGTGACCTCTGATTAAAGACTCTTATTGTGAAAAGCTCGGCCGCGATGCGTTCAGGGCCGGGAAGTGTGACGTGTTTTTCTGTCCGTTTGATGGCGATGATGCGTTCAGGTCCACCACCACGACTCACGCCCCCCTGGGGTCATCAGGGGTCGACGAAGGACACCATGATGTAGCGGGTGCCCTGGGTGGTGGGCAGGCCCTCGTGGTAGTGGGTGAGGCGGCCGGGGTGCATGAAGGACCAGCCCTTCCTGGGAGACTCCACCTTACAGTCGTAGCGCAGGAACCGGCAGCCTCCGCCCTGCGAAACACAGGAACCACAGGGTCAGACAGAGGTCAGACAGAGGTCAGATAGAGGTCAGACAGAGGTCGGGTCAGATAGGGGTCAGACAGAGGTCGGGTCAGACAGAGGTCGGGTCAGACAGAGGTCGGGTCAGACAGAGGTCGGGTCAGACAGAGGTCGGGTACCTGGTAGTCGATGCCCTTCCTGTTCAGCGCGATGTTGATGGTGAAGGTGGACGAGTCGTGATGCGGCCGCAGAGACGGCTGCTCGTCTGGACGGTACCGGACCACAAAGTTCATGATGGAGTGGGCCTGTGGGGGATTAGCATGCTAGCTTAAAGTTAGCATTACAATGCTAGCATTTATAGAGAATCACGCTAACATCAGCATGCTAATGCAGCTCTTTGTAGCTTTAGCATGCTAATGACAACATGGTGACATTTAGCTGCAGCAGCAGCTAGCTTGGGTCATTTATTACAGCGATATTATGGACATATTTTGATAAAGCTAAAGTTAGCATTAGCCTGCGGAGTGGACGTTTCAGCTAAAATAATGATGGGTTTCTTTTCCCTTTGAGGTGGGAACTAAATACGACCCAGCATGGATACAAACAGAACCAAAACCGTTTAAAATAAGAGGAAAGAACAAAATATCTGCTCTGATCTAAACCCGGTAGTGAAACGATGGGCCAGTTCAGGAAACACTTTAAACTCATTTCCTCTTATGTCTGATTGCATTCATCATGTTTTAAACCTTCTTTCTGTTGAGGACGGCTGTTCTGGTGAACTGCCAGGACGCCGCTTCCCCTCTTGCTGCTGCTTTATGCTCTGCCTGCTACAGATGAGAACCAGGTGGAGTCAATCTCCTGGCAATAGGAAACATGTATTTAGGTGTGGCTGACCTCTGACTCTTGTTTGAGAGAGTGAGAGGCACAGCATGAGTGACAAACAGTGCTGATCACATGCAAACTGTGCAAATCTTTAAAAAACTGTGAAGGGCAGCCGGGAAGCTCGTAGTACTGTTTCACATGGACTCTGACTGTTTGATTGTTTTAATGAAAAAAAAAAAAGTATATATATTTATATCCACTTGATGTTTATTAGTTAAAGCAGAACAAATATTGATAGAGAATGCTAATTTATTTGTTTAATTTTACTATAAAATGCTTAATATTTATTATACTGTAGAATTAAATGATTTAAATCAGTGGAGATGTATTTTGAGTTTTCACAGTGTATTTGTCCTGTTGAGTTCACAATGTAATTTAGATGTTTTTGTTTCTTTTGAGGGTTTTCGCCTGTATGATTGGAGCATCATATAAAAATAAATCTAACTAAAATGAAGACTCCTTGAGTGAACCCCAGTTATATTTCACAAATAAGATAATCCTTTTCAAGTTGGGAATGCACAGTGAAATCAAACCAGGAGAAACTTGGCAGTGAAAACCCGCAGTCTAAAGACTGGAGGGAAACTAAGAGTTGTTGGCTGGACCAAACGTGTCCTCAAAGAGACAAGTCAAGATTGTTTGCCCTGCTGCTAAAATCAAAATGGCTGACTCAGTAGTGTTAGAGCAGTTGAAGAGTGCTAGAGCAACAGTGAAGCGTCAATTCTCCCGTTTAGCCAATAATGCGCTACGAATGCACACAATGATGTCTGAGGAAGAGCTCAGGGACAAATTCACAAAGCTCACAGTAGAAGCCAGTAAAGTCCTTGAAGCCAATGATGATGTTGCAGAACAATATGCTGCTGAAAGACCAGATCCAGAGGTGTTAAGTGAACAACAAAAGGCTGATTTGGATAAAACAACCACAGAATGTGAGAAAAAAATGTAAGAGCTAAAAAATCTAATACAAAAGACATTATGGGAAAATTTTGGGGAATATGAACTGACACAAGCTATAACAACTGCAGAGTCACACGCAGATTATGTGAGCACTGTGAATCCAAGTAAAAGCACAGATGCATATGGGTTCATGATAGAGCATCTGCAAGAACTTGTAAAGACAGCAAAGGCAGTGCATAAACATTGGAAGTGCTGGGCTCCTCATGCAGAGCAACATCAGTTTCAGAGTCGTATCAGAGCTCTTGAGACCATTTTACCAAAACTAACTTTAAGAAAAGCAGAATTTATTGAAGAACAAACCATAGAAGGGACCAAAAGGTTAAGCACTTCTATGAGTTTTCCTGTGGCCCCAGCCATTAAACTAAAGCCTGCTGCTCTACCAAAATTCACTGGGGTGTGTAGAGGGTTTTATCAGTGGAAGAAAGATTGGGAAGCGCTCCAGATGCAGGGAGAACCTACTGGATCAAAAGAGGTTAAAAAGTATCATCTTCTCGATAGTGTGGATGAGAAAATAGTACGAGACCATCGTCTCACAACTTACACAACAGCTGATGAATATTCCGGGTTCTAGAGAATCGCTTTGGAAATAAAACAACTATTGCCCTGGAAATAGTGGAGGAGCTTCAAAAAGTTCCACCAGTTAAAGGCAACCAGCCCAGGAAGATTGTTGAGCTAATTCAAACTGTTGAAAAGGCTCTGACAGATCTTGAAGAGCTTGGTGCAACTGGTGCTATAAAGAATCCCCTTATAACAAAAGCAATAGAGAGTAAACTTCCAGACAGCCTGAAGAAGGAATGGCTTCTCCATATAGCCAGTAAAGGGACTGAGGCTGAACATGACAAAAGATTTGACTACCTCCTGAAATTTCTTCAAGGTCAAGAAGCAATTTATGAAAAGCTGGATCAATTGAAGGATGAGGAGTCAAAACCAAGGTCTGAATCACGGCAAGCCCGAACCAGAACTTCTATTCAGTCAACAAACATGTCTCAAGGATGTGTTGTTTGTGGAGACGGGAAACAGAAAAAGGCTGTATTTCTGTAGAAAGTTTTGTATGCTCAAGCTGCCAGAAAAGAAGGAAGCTGTCTTTTGATTCAATGATTCAGTCATTGTGAATCATTGAGATTCACAATGAGTATGAGAACTGTAAAACTGAATTTCTGTGCAGATCAGACTGCAAGGAGCAACACTCTGCAGAGCACCATTATTATCTCTGTCCAAGGGCAGATGTGGCCCGAGAGCATTCTATCCAGAGGCGCAAAGACACTACAGTGGGAGGTGATGCGGCAGGCCACTACACCCAAGCTCAAGAAGATTTCATTAAAGGCCTCCCACCTGAACAGGCAGAAAAGTGTCGTCATGTCTTTTGTAATGCAGTGGCTAAAAAATCATGTGTCCAATCAGCCCAACCTTCTAGCAAAGAATGGTTTGGTGGAGTGGCCTGTCATCATGATGCTATTGAGGTCACAGCTAATGCAGGACAAAAGATTGGGACTCTAATTGATCTAGCATCAGACACCAACTATATAACACATGATGCAGCCGATCAATTAAACCTGAGAAGTGAAGCCATAACCCTGGTTGTCCACGGTGTAGGAGGAATGAAAGTTCAAGTTACCACAAGACGGTACCTCCTAAAGATCCGGGTCAGAACAGAAAGGGGAAACTTCAAGTCCCACCAACTCCTCTGCTATGGTTTGGACAGCATTGCAGACATCCATCAACATGTAACTGAGAAAGCACTTCAAAAGTTCTTCCCAGACATCCCTTTAGTGAACTCATGAGACCAAGACAGATACAGCTGTTAATAAGTCACAAAGAAGGTCGGCTGGTTCCACAGAAGATACGTGCTGTAGGAGATCTTGTATTATGGGATGGACCACTGGGAAAGACAGTCGCAGGAACACCCTGAGCTGTTTGAAGAGGCTACATTCACAGCACACCAATCCAGAACCCACTTTGCCCGGTCAATGAGAACCGCTGCAGTGAAGTACAAAGAGCATGTGTGCTCCTCATCTACCATCAAACATTTTAGCTCTGCAGCTACCACTCGTGATTTCCTTGAATGGTGGAAGTGGGACAGCATTGGTGCTGCTTGCACCCCAAAATGTGGAGGGTGCCGCTGTGGCAACTGCCAGCCCGGTGGCAAAGAAATGACCTTGGCTGAAGAAAGAGAATTAGAAGTGGTAAGAGTGGACTGACATATGCTGGTGCTGATGACCACAGCGATAATCCCCATTGGCATGCAAGCTATCCATGGCTTGAGGAGCCCTCCACATTACCAAACAACAAAAAAGCAGTGGAGGCAACTTTTCTCAGAACGAAGAAACAACTAGCCAAGGAACCACTGTGGAAAAAGGCTTACAGTGCTCAAGTTCATGAAATGGTTGACCGACAGGCTGCAAAAAAGCTGACTGAAGAGGTTTTAAACACCTGGAAAGGACCTGTCTGGTATATAAGCCATCTCATCGCTCCCAATCCACATTCTGTTACAACCCCTGTGAGACTCGTCTGGAACAGCAGTCAAAAGTATAAAGGCCAAAGTCTAAATGATCTGCTGTTGAAAGGTCCTGATGTCCTCCTCAAGTTCCACCAGGGGTCTTATGCTGCTCTGGGAGACATCAGAAAAATGTACGATTCTGTCTGGCTTGAGGAGCGGGAAGTCCATCTGCATCGCTTCTTGTGGCGTGATTCAGAGGATGAGGAGTTGGAGGAGTATGCAATTACACGGGTAAACATTGGGGACAAACCAGCAGGTTGTATAGCACAACTCGCCATGAGAGAGACAGCTAACCTTCCTCAATTCAGCAGCATGAAAGATGAACATCAAGTATTGCATGAACACAGCTACGTTGATGACATATTAACATCCCACAACTGCCGCAAAAGACTTAAGGTCATCACAAAGAATGTAGAGTTGATTCTAAAAGCAGGAGGATTTGAGCTGAAACCATGGGTCTTCTCTGGCAAAAATAAGGAAGAGAAACTGGGGACATCACCACAGATGATTGTCCTGCCAAATCAACTGAAGGAGGAGAACAATAAGGCACTTGGCCTTGGTTACATCGCAAATGAAGACAAGTTGCACGTCATGGTGAGAATCAATTTCTCCAAGCGAAAGAAAAAATGAGACTTGGCCAAGACTTGCTGCTAGAGGAAGTGCGGATAAAGACACCACACCCATTGACACGGCGTGAACTGTTGAGTCAAGTAGCTGGGTTATATGACCCAATCGGCCTGACAACACCAGCAAAGCAAAAAGGGGCCATTTTGGTCCGAAGAGCATTCCAAGAGGCAAAACCAAATTGTAACATTGTCAGAGAGACATGGGACCTTCCCTTATCTGATGATCTCCACAGAGATGCGGTTGATCTATTTGAGGAGTATGTACAGCTAAGTAAAATTGCATTTCCAAGAGCTCTTACTCCTCCAGATGTCACTACTCAACCCATTGCAATTACCTTTTCAGATGGCAGTGAAAACTCATATGGTGCTGTTCTCTACTTACGGTGGAACTGCTGCAAACAGATAACAGTTCGACTAGTGGAGTCAAAAGCAAAGTTGACGCCTCTAAACCAGAATGCGGATGCAGTCAAAGCAGAGCTTTGTGGTGCGGTCTTTGCAAGTCGTCTTAAAAAATATTATGAGCAGCATGCCCATATCAAGATCAGCCAGTGGTACCATTTGTTGGACAGTCAAACAATTCTTGGAGCCATTCAGCGTGAGAGTTATGGATTTCAAACCTTCTTCGCTAATAGAATAGGAGAAATTCAAAGCAGTACACAGTTACAAGACTGGTGGTGGATCCCTGGACAACTCAACATAGCCGACATCATCACTCGAGGAGCTGGACCAAGAGAACTCGATGTTAATTCAGAGTGGCAAGAAGGACCAAAATTTCTACACCTCCCTGAGTGTGAGTGGCCCATTATGTCTGCAAAAGAGGTATCTACTGCAGCTCGAGAAAGCATTAATAATATGCAAAAGAAGACATTTGCAGCAGCACTCACCAGAGCCCAAGCAAAGAAAGATAAAAGTTCTGGGCAAAGTTCTAAGCGGAGACCTCCTGCTGGAGCAGCTGTACAAAACTTGGTGGATGAAAGGCGGTTCAGTAGCCTAATGTCTCTGGTCAAGACTGTTTCTTTCATGTGGAGAGCTGCCAGAAAATGTATGTCTGGAAACAAGTCCATAAGCCACCAAAGTGGGAGGCTGTGCCAACAAGTGGAGTCATTACTGTTTCCGAACGACAGGATGTTGAGAGACATCTGTCTTGCTGCTCAAGAGGGGGTAACCTTTCCAGCTACCACTACAGACCGCCTGGTGGTGTACGAGAGGCAGCTGGATTATTAGTCTGTGGTGGGAGAATCCATTGTTTTGGAGACGACGGCATGGCAGTCCCCCTTCTACCATCTGATGCATGGGTCTCTAATTTGTTGGCTCGAGAGGCACACAATGAAAGAGTGGCTGCAACCCTGCTGAAAATGAGAAGAAAAGGCTGGGTCATTCGAGGGAGGAGAATTGCCAAAAAAGTAGTGGAAAACTGTCTTGTCTGCAAAAGTATAAAGCAAGAAGATGCCAACAAATAATGGGGGATTTACCTCCTGAAAGAACCAAACCTGCAGCCCCGTTTGAGTACACAGCAGTTGACCTCTTTGGACCATACCTTGTAAAGGATGGTGTCAAGAAAAGAGTCTCCATGAAAGTGTGGGGTGTTGTTTTCAGCTGCATGGCCAGCAGGGCTGTCCATGTAGACCTGGTAGACACGATGTCAACAGAGAGCTTTTTGATGACTTACCAACGATTCACTGCAGTTAGAGGACATCCAAAGAAGATCTGGTCTGATCCAGGAACACATTTCATTGGTGTCAAGTCTGTATTAAAAGAGCTGTATCAGTTCCTGGATTCCCAAGACAAAGGTGCAATAGAGGAGATATTTGCTCAAAAAGGCACCCAATGGGAGTGGATAATTAATCCAGCTGACTCGCCTCATCGCAATGGAGCTGCTGAAGCTGACGTCCGCATCATTAAGAAGGCACTGCAGCGTTTGGGCACCAACACTGGCCTCAATTACAATGAGCTTCAGACTACATTCCAACTTGCTGCTAATCTCGCCAACGAACGTCCTATTGATGCCCAGGTGCAGAGCCGTGAAGATTGCATCTTGTATGTATCACCCAACTCACTCCTCTTAGGACGGGCCTCTCCAAACGGTGACATCAGAACATTCGACTTTGCAAGCTACCCGTATAAAAGACTCAGAGAGATGCAGCATCATATCAATAGATTCTGGAGACCATGGAGCCAGCTTTCTGGTCCAAACTTATTTGTGAGAAACAAATTGCACACATTACATTGAAATGTCACAGCTGGCGATATTGTTTGGCTATGTGACCAAAATGCAGTGCGGGGCCAATTCAAGTTAGGACGAGTTGTGAGCGTCAACTCGGATGCAAAGGGCATTGTACAGGATGTGAATGTCAAAGTCATCCAAAGCTCCTGCATTCCTGTGACAAGACTCATCCCAAGCCAGCCTTAGTCTGGAGTCCTAAAAGAACCTGCACAAACTACAGTCCTGCATAGAGATGTTCGGTGCCTGGTGGTTCTATTGCCCAGTGGAGGAACAAATATAAAAACTGGCAGTTCACAGGAATTTATTCTGCGATTTCTCCATCGATTCCTTGGAAACAGATCGAGTGGAGGTGTTTCCTGGTGAACTGCCAGGACGCCTCTCACCCTCTTGCTGCTTCTTTATGCTCTGCCTGCTACAGATGAGAACCAGGTGGAGTCAATCTCCTGGCAATCGGAAAAGTGTATTTTAGGATGTGGCTGACCTCTGACTCTTGTTTGAGAGAGTGAGAGGCACAGCATGAGTGACAAACAGTGCTGATCACATGCAAGGTGCATACTGTGCAAATCTTAAAAAAACTGTGAAGGACAGCCGGTAAGCTCCTAATATTGTTTTACATGGACTCTAACTGTTTGATTGTTTAATGAAAAAAAAATTATATATTTATATGCACTTGGTGTTTATTAGTTAAAGCAGAACAAATATTGATAGAGAATGCTAATTTATTTGTGTAATTTTACTATAAAATGCTTAATATTTATTATACTGTAGAATTAAATGATTTAAATCAGTGGAGATGTATTTTGAGTTTTCACAGTGTATTTGTCCTGTTGAGTTCACAATGTAATTTAGATGTTTCTGTTTCTTTTGAGGGTTTTCACCTGTATGATTGGAGCATCATATAAAAATAAATCTAACTAAAATGAAGACTCCTTGAGTGAACCCCAGTTATATTTCACAAAAAAGATGATCCTTTTCAAGTTGGGAATGCACAGTGAAATCAAACCAGGAGAAACTTGACAACGGCCGTTCCTACAGCGCCGGACTCACTCGCTTTCAGAACCTTTTAACCCGGTTGGGCTCCTACCTTACAGTAACACCTTCAGGCCCGGTTGGGCTCCTACCTTACAGTAACACCTTCAGGCCCGGTTGGGCTCCTACCTTACAGTAACACCTTCAGGCCCGGTTGGGCTCCTACCTTACAGTAACACCTTCAGGCCCGGTTGGGCTCCTACCTTACAGTAACACCTCCAGGCCCGATTGGGCTCCTACCTTACAGTGACACCTTCAGGCCCGGTTGGGCTCCTACCTTACAGTAACACCTTCAGGCCCGGTTGGGCTCCTACCTTACAGTAACACCTTCAGGCCCGGTTGGGCTCCTACCTTGGGGTAGTATCCAGGGTAGAGCTTCTCGGTGACGGGGGCGATGTAGTCCTTGAGGAACTTGAGCCACTCCTTCTCGAAGCCGACCTGGTTCATGTGGATGTCCACGGTGGGGACGTTCTCGTAGCCGCCGGCCAGACGCTCGTCCTGGAGGGACAGAACCAGAACCTGTCAGAACCCCTGAGGAACCTCCTGGCTCTCAGGGAGCGGCGGTACCTTGTGGGACCCTCCGGACCACTGGCCGAAGTCCTCCATGGTCTCCACCATGTGATCACACATCTTCTCAGAGAAAGCTGGAAACCAGTAGACATCTGGACAGGGCTGGAGGACACAGCAGAGGACATTAGAGACCCAGTTTACACCAGAACCGCCTGGCTCAGGCCCACAGGCCCAGTCCGGTTCCCGCTCCAGTACCTGCTCCACCACGCCGCTGCCCTCCTCAAAGATCTTGGAGTAGTTCTCGTGGATGTACTTCTCCCGCCAGTCCTGCAGGGACAGAGACAGACAGACTCAGTCCCAGCCGCCCCACCAGAACCCGGCGGACCTCCGGTCCGGTTCTGACCAGCGGGTTGTCGAAGATCTGCCACATGTCCGGGTGGAGTCTGGACGTGTTGAAGGTGGCGGACGCCACCAGCCGGCCGAACTCGTCTCGGTTGGAGACGAACATGAAGACGCCCTGAGGACACACGGTGGCGCCGGTGAGTCGGTCCAGAGGAATCGGACCGGGTTCCGGTACTAAGCCTGCGGCGTTACCTGGTCCCTGATGGTTCTGCAGAACACCATGTCCGGGTCCATTCCTTCGTCCACAAACAGGCTGACCTGGGACAGTTTGGACCGCAGGACGCTGCCCTTCACCAGGTAGACCTGGGTGATGTAGGGGACGTTCCAGAGCCCGCTGGGGACAGAGACCGGGTCAGAACCTGGGTTGGAACCGGTCCCAACAAATACTGGGTCGGAACCGGTCCCGACACAGGTTAGAACTGACATCACTTCCTGTCCAGTATCATCGGCTGCAGAAGCCCCGCCCACCATCAGAACCTGACCGTATGACCCAGACCTGCTGAGCAGAACCAGCGGTCCGGTCCGGTACCGTGGCGGCAGCAGCAGCACTTACACCCTCTTGCCCTGGACGATCTCGATGTAATCCTCGGAGCGCGAGTAGAACCCGTCCGGACTCAGAGCGCCCCAGAAGTTGCTCCACAGTTTGCCGTGTTTGGACAGCATGGGGGCGATGACGGACCTGGGGCGGAACACGGAAACCCGGTCAGAGCGGCCTCGACCTGGACAGAACCGGGCCGGACCAGAACCTACTTGTTCTCCTCTATGAGGATCCGGAGCGTGTCCGGGTTGGTCAGCGCCACGTCCGAGTCGATGCTGAAGAAGTAATCGCAGGCCGGGTTCTTCTGGCACGCCTCGCTGCACACAGACAGGGTTAGAGCCGACCAGAACCGGCACCGGCCCAGACCCGGTTCTGCACTCACATTGCCATGGTTCTGGCCTTCTCCTCTGGCAGGTTCTCCTCAGGTCCGACCAGAACCGCGTCAGGGAACAGAACCCTGTGGCGCTCCCAGAACCGCTGGATGTGTTGCTCATGGTACACGACCTGCAGGACAGGACGGGTCAGAACCAGAGCCAAAGCCGGGTCAGAACCGGAGCCGGGTCCAGAACCAGAACCGGAGCCGGGTCCAGAACCAGAACCGTACGTTGTTGTGGATGAAGAGCCGGATCCGGGTCTTGCTGTAGCTCATGGTGGCCAGACGCTCCAGGAACTCGTCCATGAAGGGAGTCGGATGTTCGATGAAGACGGCCAGGAAGACCAGAGGGAGGTCTGCGTCCTGCGGGGAGAGACAGTCAGAGAGGACCTCTATAGACCCCCCCCCCCCTGTAGACCTCCCCCAAACCTGTGCCCCCCCCTGTAGAGCCCCCCTCCCCCCCCTTACCTGGCGGTCGCCCAGCGACAGCAGGTCGTCGTCGCAGCCTCCACAGCCGTGTTCGTAGGTCCAGGCCGTTGGGACGTAGTTTCCCAGGTAGTTGAGCTGCAGCTGTGGACGGAGACAGGAGTTGCTATGGCAACGGTACAACTTCCTGTTGCCATCACAGCGGAGCCCTCTGATTGGCCGTTACCTTGGTGGGTCCGTTGCCGTGGATAACCACAGGAAGCGTGTCGTAGGCCACGTTCCTCACTCTGACCTTTGACCTCTCAAACTTCAGGACGACCTCGTCTGGGGAGAGAGAGCCGGGTCAGAACCAGCGAGGTCCGGTTCTGGACGGGTCCAGAACCGGAACAGAACCGTCCAGACTCACCGATGGCGCCGTTGAGGTTCTGGAAGATCTGGGATCGGTGGTCCAGAGTCATGTTGAACCGGGTCTGAAACACAGCACAGCATCAGTCGGGTTCTGTGCGGCCGCTGCCGCCTGCCGGCCCGGTTCTGACCCGGTTACCCTCTGCTTCTGGTCCAGGTAGATCCGGGTGTAGAACAGCTGGTCGTCGTCGTTGTCCCTGAACTTCCACTGCTGGACGATGGCGGCCAGGTCCGAGGAGAACCCGATGAATCCTGGACAGAACCGCAGGTCAGCGGACCAGAACCACAGAACCACAGAACCACAGAACCGCAGAACCACAGAACCTCACCTCCAGAGTTCAGGTAGCGCTTCCCAGAATGCACCTGGGGGTACTTGGAGGCCAGGCGCTGGTCGGGCCAGCAGAACCCCTCGGCAGAGAAAACGACCCGGTGGCCCAGAGAGGAGAACCGGGTCAGAAGCTCGTCTGGACCGGCCGCCAGAATCACATCGTAGCTGCAGAGACGAGCAGAGGCCCGGTTAGACAGAACCGGTCCCGGTCCAGTTTGAGCTGATAGAAGGAATATTTATTATTTTATTTTTCTGTATTTTATCGAGTCGCTGCCACTTTGAGCCAAAGCATCCCATAATGCCTCTGGCTGCAGGCTGGCTGCCATGGCGATCAGAGCATCACCGAGCAGCAATGAGGAAGAGGAGCAGATGAGGAAGAGGAGCAGCAATGAGGAAGAGGAGCAGCAATGAGGAAGAGGAGCAGCGATGAGGAAGAGGAGCAGATGAGGAAGAGGAGCAGAGATGAGGAAGAGGAGCAGCAATGAGGAAGAGGAGCAGATGAGGAAGAGGAGCAGAGATGATGAAGAGGAGCAGTGATGATGAAGAGGAGCAGCGATGAGGAAGAGGAGCAGAGGAAGAGGAGCAGAGATGAGGAAGAGGAGCAGATGAGGAAGAGGAGCAGAGATGAGGAAGAGGAGCAGATGAGGAAGAGGAGCAGAGATGATGAAGAGGAGCAGTGATGATGAAGAGGAGCAGCGATGAGGAAGAGGAGCAGATGAGGAAGAGGAGCAGAGATGAGGAAGAGGAGCAGTGATGATGAAGAGGAGCAGCGATGAGGAAGAGGAGCAGTGATGATGAAGAGGAGCAGTGATGATGAAGAGGAGCAGCGATGAGGAAGAGGAGCAGATGAGGAAGAGGAGCAGAGATGAGGAAGAGGAGCAGTGATGATGAAGAGGAGCAGCGATGAGGAAGAGGAGCAGAGATGATGAAGAGGAGCAGAGATGAGGAAGAGGAGCAGATGAGGAAGAGGAGCAGAGATGAGGAAGAGGAGCAATGAGGAAGAGCAGAGATGAGGAAGAGGAGCAGAGATGATGAAGAGGAGCAGATGATGAAGAGGAGCAGAGATGAGGAAGAGGAGCAATGAGGAAGAGGAGCAGCAATGAGGAAGAGGAGCAGCGATGAGGAAGAGGAGCAGCGATGAAGGCTACCTGTCCACGAACATGACGACCAGCTGCTGGTCCTCTGAATGCTTCAGCAGCTCCTCCTTCAGCCACCTGACCTTCTGACCTCCGCCCACCGTCCGGGCCACGTCTCCGCCCTTCCACTCCTCCCCGAGGCCCAGCACCTGCCAGAGGTCAGCGGGGTCAGAGGTCAGCAGGGGTCAGAGGTCAGCAGGGGTCAGAGGTCAGCGGGGGTCAGCCGGCCCAGAGTTCTGGTTCTGGTCTCACCTTCAGGCTGTAGTTGAACTGCGCCGCCGTTTTCATGAAGCGCCTGAAACCGTCCGTCTCCTCCGTTGCTGCGGTAACGACCAGCAGGTTTTCTACAGCAGAGACACAGAGAGTCAGTCTGGATGCTGCAGGTCTAGATGCTGCAGGTCTAGATGCTGCAGGTCTGGATGCTGCAGGTCTGGATGCTGCAGGTCTGGATGCTGCAGGTCTGGATGCTGCAGGTCTAGATGCTGCAGGTCTAGATGCTGCAGGTCTATATGCTGCAGGTCTAGATGCTGTAGGTCTAGATGCTGTAGGTCTAGATGCTGCAGGTCTAGATGCTGCAGGTCTATATGCTGCAGGTCTAGATGCTGTAGGTCTAGATGCTGCAGGTCTAGATGCTGCAGGTCTAGATGCTGCAGGTCTAGATGCTGCAGGTCTAGATGCTGCGGGTCTATATGCTGCAGGTCTAGATGCTGTAGGTCTAGATGCTGCAGGTCTAGATGCTGCAGGTCTAGATGCTGTAGGTCTAGATGCTGCAGGTCTAGATGCTGCAGGTCTAGATGCTGCAGGTCTATATGCTGCAGGTCTAGATGATGCAGGTCTGGATGCTGTAGGTCTAGATGCTGCAGGTCTAGATGCTGTAGGTCTAGATGCTGCAGGTCTAGATGCTGTAGGTCTAGATGCTGCAGGTCTAGATGCTGCAGGTCTAGATGCTGCAGGTCTAGATGCTGCAGGTCTAGATGCTGCAGGTCTATATGCTGCAGGTCTAGATGCTGCAGATATAGATGCTGCAGATATAAATGCTGCAGGTCTAGAGCTGATCCTCCATTCTGATTGGCTGCTGGAGGCCCCGCCCACACCTGGAGCTGACCCCTGATCTTCTGCGTAAAGTTTTCACATTCGTTTCATAACCTCTGACCTGAATGCTCAGTACTGATAGAAGGAAGAGGAGGAGCAGGTGAATAACACCTGGTTGTCCTGCAGCTCCAGTTTCTCTGCTCTGAATGTCTGAAACCAGAAACCTGCTGAGGAAGAGGAGGAGGAGGAAGAGGAGGAAGGCTGATCTGACCCAGAATCAGCTGCTCTACTGTCCTCCAGGTGATCTGCTGGAACCAGTAGAACCAGTAGAACCAGTAGAACCAGAGCCTGATGGATCTCTGCTCAGCATCAGTAATTATTCTCACTTATTATTCACCTGTTTACTTATTATTATTATTATTATTATTATTATTATTATGTTAAAACAACAAAATAAGAAACAATTCATCTCTGAATTAGGGGTTGCCATGGTAACAGTGATCCATCTGATCAATCATCATTACGGTTAAAGATTTTTAGAGGTCCAGAATGGTTCTGGAGAGGTCCAGAACGGTTCTGGAGAGTCCAGAATGGTTCTGGAGAGTCCAGAATGGTTCTGGACCTTCAGGGGAGATCCGTCCTGAAAGCAGAACTTTCTGCCTCCTGGTCATAATCTCCTCCATCTTCACTGAGTTGTGATTTAATCCTTTTCTTTCCTGCTTCAGGTTCATTAATAATCTCTCCAGTCTCAGTTGATCTGGATCCGCTGGATCTCCGGATCTCCAGCGGATCCAGCGGCTCTCCGCTCTCCTTCTGACCGACCCCAGCAGCCGCGGAGCGGCCTTACCTGCTGAGAGCTGCCGCTGTTCGGCCCACGCGGCGCTGAGGAACCAGACGGCGGCGAGCCACAGAAGCCGATTGGACGCCATGTGTTCCGCTTTGTGACCCGGTTAGAACCGGCTCGGTTCGGCAGAACAGAACCGTTAGTTTATCCGCTTCTACTCGGGACTCTTTCAGCTTCCTGCCGTCCAAATCTCGCGATGCCTCAGCAACGAGACGTCCCAACATCAACACAGACCGCAGTGCTCGCGGTTCAGCCAATCAGCGGGCAGAATGTTTGAGTGACGCGGCGCTGAGCCAATCAGCGGCCGACAGATGGACTCGGTGGGAGATATGGGTTCTGTTCACATTTGTCCAACTGGAGAAACTTCGTGAAAAGACCTGAGTCTGTGCCACGTGTGTCCACGGAGAGAGTGGGTTCAATGAGAACACCAACACGTAGAGCAGCATTTATCGATTATCTATTATGTATAGAGTCCGTTAATGAAACAATAGAAATCAGTTTAATCTCTTGAATTTCACAAACGTTTCAGATTTTATAACTAAAATAAAGAGGCGGGAGAAAAACAGCATCAATATCCACAAAAACTAGCAATTATGAATCAAAACCAGTTGGAGCAACATTTCATTCCCCTTCCGGATCAATAACAGCCTTTTAATGGACTTGTTGGTGAGTTGTGGTGCTTCACTACAACTCCCATGAGACCCCGCGGCCTGCAGCCAGGAAGGTAAACAAAGCGCGGCAACCGCCGCACCTCCTGTTGTCATGGCAACGCAACTACCGACAAACCTGCAGAAAGTGAAAAAGTATTTCTAACCCAAACCGAGACCCGGTTCATCCCGGTTCGACCCGGTTCGGCCCGGTTCATCCCGGTTCGACCCGGTTCATCCCGTTTCATCCCGGTTTAACCCGGTTCGGCCCGGTTTCTCCATGTCTGGCCCGGTTCGGCCCGGACACACAATGAGGAAGCGGCCCCGGTTCTTCACCCCCGCGAGGTGGCCTCCCACTTCACGGCGGCCGACCTGTGGGTCTCCTTCCTGGGCAGAGTGTTCGACCTGACCCCGCTGATGCAGCAGCACGCAGGTGAGCTGCAGGTGTTCCGGCTCAGACCGGATGTGACGCTCAACTTGTGTTGAATATCAATTAGTGCATTACTAGTAATGTGATTACACTGTTTACATTTCATCCTGGTCTCATAATAAGAAAATTAATGGACATTAAAATGAATCTCTACAAATAGAAACTTTAAATCTTTTCTCCTATCAAATGGTTTATAGGAAAGATATGTGAGAATTAAACAGATGAATATTTTATTAATAACTCGAGGATTTGAAAACAATTTCAATGCTTTATGGTTTATTTCTAAACTTAATGTTTAGAAACTTGGACAAAGTTTAAAACTGGATTTCATCTCTTCCCAGTTCTCCATGTAGTTTAATGAATCATTCAGTTTTATTTGTTTCTGCTGCTGTAAAGATATTGATTTATTCTTTTTAAAGGAATCCATAACTTAAATCTGTTTACATGTTAACAAATGGAACATATTGTAATTATGAGGAGATGTGATTCAATTTGATATGAATATTTGTTTTCTCAACCTTCTGAGTCATGGACCGGTTGACCTCGTCTGACCCGGTTGACCTTGTCTGACCCGGTTGACCTTGGCTGACCTTTGCTCCCCCTGCAGGTGACGTGCTGCTGCTGCCCATCATAGAATGTGCTGGGAAGGACATCAGCAGCTGGTTCGACCCAAAGACCAGAGACGTGAGTTTTAATTTGTCCAGCCCCTTTACTCCGATGCCTTCAGTGAAACCGGTCGCCGGCTTGGCTTCCATCACGGATGTATTTCAGCAGTGACCTTTGAACCTGCTGGGAGCTGAGCTGTTTGTGGTTTTTCCAGATCCTGAGGTTTGTGGACCCTGTGACGTGCTGCGAGCGGTACTACACCCCCAGGGGGCGCTTCGTGCACACGCCGCCCAGCGGGCCGCGCTCCGACTGGGACACGGACCTGGGCCAGCCCTGGTGGAAGGACCGCAACTACGAGGTGGGGCTGCTGTCAGCCAAGACGCGCTGGATCCGCGTGGTCAACACGCTGACATTACAGGAGCAGCTGCTGGAGGTGAGACAGGCCCAGTGCACTGTGGGTAATGGAGTCTGTGCTGTGAAGCTCACAGTGCATTCTGGGTAACATAGTGAAGCTCAGTGCATTCTGGGTAACGTAGTGAAGCTCAGTGCATTCTGGGTAACATAGTGAAGGTCACAGTGCATTCTGGGTAACATAGTGAAGCTCAGTGCATTCTGGGTAACATAGTGAAGCTCAGTGCATTCTGGGTAACGTAGGGAAGCTCAGTGCATTCTGGGTAACGTAGGGAAGCTCAGTGCATTCTGGGTAACGTAGGGAAGCTCAGTGCATTCTGGGTAACATAGTGAAGCTCAGTGCATTCTGGGTAACATAGTGAAGCTCAGTGCATTCTGGGTAACGTAGGGAAGCTCAGTGCATTCTGGGTAACGTAGGGAGCTCAGTGCATTCTGGGTAACGTAGGGAAGCTCAGTGCATTCTGGGAAACGTAGTGAAGCTCAGTGCATTCTGGGTAACATAGTGAAGCTCAGTGCATTCTGGGTAACGTAGTGAAGCTCAGTGCATTCTGGGTAACATAGTGAAGCTCACAGTGCATTCTGGGTAACGTAGTGAAGCTCACAGTGCATTCT